AAACCAGAAATGTTATATCGAAAATTCTCATAACTTCTAAGCAATTACACCCATTAACTTGATATTAATTTTTTTTCCATTCAGCATAAAAAGACCTGCATAAGAAACGATACTATTACTATAATACTAATTATTATAATTATTCTATAATACTAATATTTTGTCTAAGACTATCAGACACGTAAACAAGTAAGTCAAAAACTATACTTTTTATACTGAAAACCGCTTATTACTTCCACGGATCAGTCCTTCGACACATAATGTAAAGTCAGCAAAAATTTAAATTTAAAAAAAGTTACATTTTTAATTCACTGAGAGAAAGGTTTGCTTGTGGTAAAACTTGACTATCATGTATTGACCGCGATCAATGTCGTCATTTGGTGTGCCAAATCAGTTATTTTTTGGAGTTCTTATTAGTTCGAGTATAGTAAAACGCTTTTTTTTTTCTTGAAGTAACAATGTAGAGTCGGCGTGAAGGACAACATCAAAATAAATTATAAGAAAAAGGAAATTACTAACTATTATAATACTTGCCTTTCAGTTTTATGTAAGATTTCGAAGCATTAAATTATACCGATTCATTCATTAAACAGTAATTATATTTAGCTAATTTTAATAAATTAATTTAGTTGTTTTCATCAAATTTCCTAGTAGATTGAAATTAATAAAATAATGATAAATGAACTTAACAGTTTTGGTTTTTAGCAATACTATATGGCCTGGATAGTTTGAGAAACAGAGCACCCGCTTCTAAAACAAGTAATTTTCGTTCAAATACCAGAGATGTTTAATTTCTTTGTTACTCTTCTCTTCAGTTTCATAGAAATTTTTGCAATCACAATGCAATTTCACACTTAAAATAATAGTCATAGGTACGGAAGAAATTCTTAACAGAAAATTCCCCTTATAATAAGTATAATAAAAGTGGGATCAGGCAAACCTAGAGTAAGCCATAAAGTTTCAAATACTGAAAAAAAAATCAAAATATCAATTCATCAATTTCACACCTAACCTAAAAGTTTTATCTGATGTTGAAGGATATTCAAGATTTTTCTCTTTTCATAATGTGCAAACATGCACTAACTTTATACAAAATATCTTCCGTAACTGGTCATGGATGCTTTAACCACAAGAGAAATTCTTAGCAGTGATTTCCTTTGACCTTCATAAGTAATTTAAGATCCAAAATATAGAAAAAGTGGGCTAAAGCAAACCTAGAATAAGCCGTGAAGCTTCAAATACGGGGAAAAAATTGCAAAATATCAATTCATCGATTTCATACCCAACCTAAAATTCTACTGTTGAAAGATATTCATAATTTTCCTTTTCCCATAAAGCAAACAAGTAGGAACTTCATTCAAAATATATTCCATAGCTGGCTTTTGACGCTATACCAAATGTAGAAATAAGAAATATAGCTCTTCGAATACGTAAGTAAAGCGGGGAATTGCTCGGTGCCAGAGCCTGGCAAAGGCAGGGGCATACGAGGCAGTTGCCCCGGGTCTCAGATCAGAGGGGGCCACCAAATCGAATAAAAAGTTTATTTTAGGTTTCCTTCTTTAATGAATCTTTTTTAAACAAAATATCAGTACAGTGTTTCAGTACCGTCAGTTTTATGTTAACTTCTTCATCAATCTATCGTATGAACACAAAAAATCTATATTTCGTAAATCCATGGCCTTCTAGTGCGGAATTCAGCTACATTTTCGCAATTACGGTGGAAAAATTTGGACCATCAAAGCGTGTATTTTATCGCAAAATGTGACATGTTTACAAATGTACAGTCTTGAAGGCCGGGATAGCCTGGTCGGTAGGGCGCTGGGCCCATATCCAAGAGGTCGTGGGTTCGATCCTCGCCGGCCGAAGACACCCCGTGTAGTAAATGGTGACTGATGCACGTTAAATCTGTCGAGTCTCAAAGTCCTCCATGTTCCCACAACAAATCAATACCTCTGGGGGTACTGATCCAGGAGTTTCCTTGTCTTCTGGATTGGTTCAAAATTACAAGGCTACGGAGTTGAACGTAAGTAGTCGTAAACCCATGAAATTGGGTCGGCTGTTCAACGACGGTTATAAAATAAAATAAAATGTACAGTCTTCTGACTGGCTTAAGTGACCCATCGAAATTGCGAAAATTCAGCTGATTTCTACCCTAATGTCAGGAAGGATATGAATTTTTCTCAGCTAGCTGACAAAGTTAACAATCAAAAAACTGCATTCGTCATGATGGACATAGAATTGTCAGAAAATCAATAAAATAGACAGAATGATATTTCGTCTGACCATTGGGGGGGGGGACTTAATAGCTATTTTAGGTTCTAGTCAATTTTATTGTGTATATGTTTTTTTTCTTTCTTTCGAATGGCAGGCACTGAACTTTATTTGTTTCGCCTCAGAAGATGCCAGAGGTGTTACTCATTTCGCGTTACCCAGTGGCACCTGTGAACCAAAGTCACGGAGGCGAGTAACATTGCCCACGCCACAAACCTGTTCATAGGGTGGGCCACATTCACACACAACAGAGGACAACACAAGAGAGAGAAACAACCATGTCCAGAGCGGGATTCGAATCCGCAGCCATTGGCTTCGTTGTCAGGCACTCTAACCGCTCGGCCACCTGGCCGGCCTTGTATATGGATGAGTGATCGTGTAAAGCTAAGGGTGGTGGCGCTAGTGGTAAAATTGCTCTTTCGAGACTTCCGGGTTACTGCTTCCGATATACTTTTACGCCGCAGATTGAAAAAACGAGCCATCATATTATTGTATCATATCTTTTGCAGTATTTCACATGTACCGAATTCTTTCTTTCAGCCTTTAAACTTCAGCATTATCATATCAATATTATAATCATTAGAATATTTTCTAATTAAGCTAACTTAAAAAGATATTTTTGGCGACATTTTATTCAAACGTAGCCAAATAAGGGATAAAATACAAAACTTGGCAAACCTTAAGAATTATTCACAATAAGATATTAACTTTCCAAAATTTTTTTTGGCTTTACGACCTCTAAGAATCAATACATTTCTGAAAGCTCTTATGAATGGTACAATTATGTTTAGATTTGAACCCAAATTACAATAACAAAACTGCATAGAATATTAGGCTTGTTCACACATCGCCTCGTAGTCATAACATAAGCGGAGGGATACACCGGAAATTTTCTAAATTTCTTCCGGTTTAAGGACGCTTGTTATTGTTTACATTAGGCCACGCATCCATATGTATAATGAGGTGAAAAACTTAAATACCCCTTAAAATTCAATTCCTCATAACTGAAGTAGTGAAGCAGAGGTGGGGTCCCAATTAGGTTAAATCGGGCCCTGGTCGGTGCGGTACGCTATACCAGAAAAACAACTTAGAGGGAGTTATTGAGTTCCAACATACTCAAATTTAGCAAAGCATTATATGTAATAAGAGCCAGCGCATGTTCATAAAAAGTAAAGTGGTCAGGAGGTTGTCACTTATGAACCGGCTGTTGGACAACTCTACATGTATGGTTGGGTAGGCTGCCTCCCGCCATTTTATTCTTTCTATGTTAAATGTGTTAGTAGATTTAATCAATGTGGATGATATAAATGTATTTTCAAAGAAATATCTTAAATAATAGTACTTGCACTGAACTGTTTATTAATAATGTAAAAATGCAGAACAAACCAACAATAAATTAAATGAGAAAATGTTTCTTCCTCATCCCCAACACAATAGTAGTTGCGAGGAGAGGAGGGTCCAAACATGTTTCAAGAACTTCTGGTGGTCCCTAAATGTTTTTTTCCTTTATACACTCGGGCTGCACCAAACCTTGGGAACTGGTTTACATTATGCTTATGGAAGCTAGACTTCTTCCCCTATGTATATTCTTTAATTATAAAAAAAAACTAACTTATATATATTATCTCGCACAGCACCTGGACCTCCTTTGTTTAATAAGTAGCATACGCTAACAATTAATATTCAATTTTAACCTACTCATGCATCACAGCTTTAGGGATCCCTCAGGACCAAATCACTGGTCAGTCCATCGATTTATTGTGTTGCCATCTTTCGTGATCCAGTCTATTCTTCTTGGTGCCCTCCTTTTTTGTTCACTTGAGTGCATTTCATGTCAATAGTATTCCCTGGATGCCCGGTATGGGGGGGAGGCAGGGTTAAGCTGAGTTATTTATATTATCTGTACTATTTCAATACTTTAAAATCCAGGCAAACCTAGAGTAAGCCATAAAGTTTCAAATGCTAAAAAAATTTTCAAAATGTCTATTCATCAATTTCACACCTAACCCAATAGTTTTATTAGTATTTCTCAACATCTAATAGTTTTATTAGATGTTGAGAGATATTCATAGTTTTCCTTTTCCCATAATGCAAACATGTACAAATTTCATTCAAAATATTTTCCATGACCAATCTTGGACGCTATAACCAAAGGAGAAATCCTTCGTAGCGATTCCCTTTGACCTTCATAAGTAATTTAAAATTCAAAATATAGAAAAGCAAACCTAGAATAAGCCATAGAATTTCAAATGCTGAAAAAAAATTTTTAAAAATATAAAACTTCAAACCAATTATGAGAAAGTTATTTAGGATTACACTGTGATGAATTTCTCCTCTAATAATTCATTTGCATAGTGTGTACTAATATTTTGAAAACATTTTGAAACTTCAAGGTTTACTCTAGCTTTGTCTGAAATCACTTCTTCTATACTTTAAATTTTAAAATGCCATTGAAAATGAAAGAGAATTTGAGATGAAAAGTTACTTCCACCATATAACGTCCTCTAAAGTGCTGGGGATAAAATGATAAAAGAAAGTAATTACTAAATTCAAGATATTTTGTTCACAATTAAATTTTATCCCTGAGAATTTGAACTCATAGAATTCTCAAAATTTTTTCATCTGTAAAACCTCACAGCAGTCGGATCACTCCGCTGGTAGAACTGGGGGTCGAGAGTTCGATCGTGGAAATCGACTAAACAAATATTCCATGAATTAAAAATACGATATTATTTCAAGACTAGATTTATTCAATCAACACACAATACATTAATTGTTGAAAAAATTATTTTGAAAATGTATAAACATAAAGAAAGAAAGAGAATTCAAAAAAGTATGTACAATAAAATATAATAAATGTAAAATGAAAAAGAAGTTTCATAAAACAAAAATCTATGTGTAAAAACAAAAATTGATAGCTCTTTCTTAAAAAAAAGTACATAAATAAAAACTTTGCAAAATTAATAACATCCAAAAGAAACAGAAAAAAAACACATAAAAGTTTTAAACAAATGTCTGGATAAAGAATACGTAGAAAAATTTATTCATTCTTTAACTATAAAAATAGCAATATATTTATATATAAATCAACATAGCCAATTTTTAAATGCTATTTTCTTAATAATAAAATACATTTCTTCGATAATAAAGTGTATTGTCATAAATTTCGGGACGGATTGTACAACTACTAATTGGATGGAATCAATTTTTTTTGTAAAAATATTAATTTATTAGAAAAAACTTAGAACACTGAATTATTTTACTATTTTGTTAATTTCCTTTTTATAACATGCGATAAATCCTATCTACGCAATATATGCATACAAAAATCAATTTCTTTTAGAAAAAAATTCTTAATAATAAAATATTTTTCCTTCCATACGCATCGTAATAAATTTTGGGACGGATTATGCAAACTTTTAATTGTGGGTAATCAATTTTTTGGTAAAAATATTAATTTATGAAACAAATCAGAAACACTGAATTAGTTCAACATTTCGTCAATTTCCGTTTCATATCGTGAACCTGGTTACTTTTCCGTTATATATTGTGAACCTGGTTACTTTTACTCATTTTTAAACTAGTTTTTCACAATGTTATTTAAGGAATAAACATTACTTTGCAAGTAAATTTTCGCATAAATTATATCAAGACAGTTAAGGAGAAAGTCATCATACAGTTCTAGGGGTGCTTTATAATGGACTGTTTCTACATTAGATTCTTAAGAGTTCATAATAGGTAAGATCCCCAAAACGCGCATGACGACATTTATGGGCATAGGTTCCTAAGCAATTTTAATTCTGAAGATAAGCCCTAACTTCCCCAGAAGTTTGTCAACATTTTCGCCACCCCCACTTGAGTATAACATTATTAAACTTGTACATTTCGACAAAAAATAGACTAAAAATGTCGTGTAAAAAAAAAGAAATAGCTTGAGGAGCAAAACTAATTTCAGATTTGAAATCCATACATCCGAATTAGGCAAGATTAAGTATTTGTATAAATGAGAGAAAAAATTTTGTTTCTCAATGTAATCAATCATTAAATTATTCATACTAAATAAGTAGAAGCAAATATAGACAGAAAGCAGTAGGTAAAAAGAATTTGAGGACAATTTTCAAAAATCAACCAAATAACATATTTAGATTGATACCTAAAAACATTTATTTTAAGAGATAAAAAGAACAAATACTTATTTTAATGGAAAGATTTTTTTTACTAAGTTACAAACATTACCAAATTAGCTTTAAGTGCAGAAAATATAGCGCATAAGTTTAGTACTGAGCTAAAGATTGTTTTTGCAAAAAGGTGAAAATAAGAAAAAAAAGCAGCATATTTTTCAGGGTAGTAGCTATTTCCTCTATCGATAAAATCTTTTATTTTTCTTGGTAAAAATAGTTTGCCCTCATTAAAAAATAAATATTTCAACATTAAAAAAAATAAGAAAATAATTGTCATTGTCCACAGTACTACAAAATATAGGTTAAAATTTTTATTTGTTAATAAATTGATTTGCTCATTCACTAATAGCCTTCCTCCCTGCAATCCATTCATCCACTCACTATCCATATCATTATTTATTTTCACTAAGAACATTCATCATAGTCACGGTTGCAATGCAGACATGCTATTCATTGCTGAAAAATATTAAATTATGCAATAAAATTAACGCTTCTTGATTTTAAAGACACTAAATTTGAGGCCAATAATAATTATCATAGTATCTTCCTTTCATCCTGCATTCTATTCAATCATTCATTCACTCACTCTCAAGAGTATAATTCATTTTTACAATGAATATTCATAACGGTCATAGTTGCAATATGGGCATGCTATTCATCACTGAAACATATTAAATTATACAATAAAATAAGCGATTTTTAATTTCAAAGATAACTAAACATAATGTCAATTATAATTTTTATTTATCAAAAACTCTTCCTTGTATCCTACATTCTATTCAATTTATTCATTCACTCACTCTTTATATGAATATTCACTTTAAAAATGAATATTCCTCACAATCATGATTGCCATACAGACATACAACTCATTGTTGCAAAATATTAGATTACAAAATAAAATAAATACTTTTTAATTCTAAGATGCTGAAACGAATTATATTGTTTCATTTATCATATTGTCTTGCATCGCATTCATTCATTCACTGGCTTCCTGTATAATTTTCATTTTCATAACAAACATTCATTGTTATACAGACATGCTATTCATTGCTGAAACATATTAAATTATGCAATTAAATTTGTGTTTTTTAATTTTAAAGACACTAAAACCAATGTTAAGAGTAATTTTTATTTATCATAGAATCTTTCTTTTTTCTTGCATACTATTCAATCATTGATTCACTCACTTTTATTAATTTTTATCCTGAATACTCTTTACAGTCACGGTTGTCATACGTACTTGTCTTTGCTTGAAAATATTAAATTACACAATAAGATAATTACTTTTGAATTTTAAGACACCAAAATCAATGTTAGTTATATTTTTTATTTATCATAGTATTTTTCTTCCTTCATGCATTTCATTCACTCATTTGCTTCGTTCATTCACTCATTATTCATTATCACAACAAACATTCATCATAGTTACGGTTGTCATATAGAAACACTAAAAATATTAGCTAAAGTTCCTACCTCCTCTTTCCAGATGAAACAAGATGTTAATTTCAAATTTATAGTGTAAATTGACAGACTTTTGAGATTATTTTTTTAAGAATACATGTAAGTTTAACTTCGATGATACAATGAAACAGAATGGAAATGATATCAGTGAATTATACAACTAAATGCAAAGAAAATAGCAAAATAATCAATACCAAATTTGATTTCACGAATATATTATTTATATCTAGCTGTATATTTTCAGCAATCAATTAACAATTTATGCATTTATTTTCTAGTATATTCTATTCAAAGCAACCATTAATTCTGACAAAATAAATATTTTTAGTTTTTTTATGTGATTTTTACATCTAAAATAAAAATTGTGAAATTTATAAACTTATTTCTTTCAAATACCACAGCATAGTAAACATATAATGAAATTAAAATCACTAACATGTTTGAGATCATAAATAAACAAATTTGCAAGTTCAGATGTCATATGATCATTTCTTCATTGTCATCCAGTTCATCAAACGTAGTGGCATAGTCTTCATTCGGTAACTGATAATCAGTTTCATCTACATTACCTGCAATATCAAAACATTAAATAATAATAACTATTATGAACAACTGTATTTCTTCTTCTTCCTAGATTTAAATTACCATTTTTTAATAATTCACCAATTCGTAAAGTATAACACAGTAAATGAAATCTCTCAAGTGTTAAAGTTTTTTTTAATCCTTTCTGAAAAAAATTACATTTTACACCTTAGACACACACACTTTTTCTTTAAGACACATATTGGATTAAAAAATTTGTATAATAAATATAATAAATATTAGTATACTAAATATTTGCATGATAAATATTAGTATCTACATTATATAAAACGCTAATACGTATATATCAATAAAACTGATGATATTTCTTTTCTCGTGTTGGCAACAGTTTTCATTTTTAATTGATGTTCTTGGGTGCGCAAGAGCACGTAGTGAGCATCATATGGCTAATCTATATTATATAAAACGCTAATACGTTTTAATCGATAGGCTTCGGCGCGCAGGAGTGAGCATCATATGTCGAATCGGGTGAATTCTCACAGAATTATCAAAAAATTTCTCACAAAATTATCTTCATCAAAGTCGATGGTTTACATTCGGAGTTCAGTACTATTTCATATTGTTTTACAACACATGGTTTTAGCCCTCTGGTGAGAAAGACTTTAAAACAAAACTTACAACAGTCACTTTTCTCAACAACTGAAATTTAGAATAGTGTGATTAAGCAAAATATGTGAACTGTTTGCAATTTCAAATTAATATTGAAATGTACAGGTTTAGAATTTTCTACAGTGAAAAGTTTTCGGAACTTCAGTGTTCAAAAAAGTATACAAAAGCTAGATGTTAAGAACGTATCCAATGAGCGAGTAAAGCGATCATCGGATTGCAAAGCAATCCAAAATGAACTACAAAAGCAGTTCCGGGGGTTGACGAGCGCCAGCGAGCAGGGGGCGAAGCATCCTAGTAATAAATATTAGCATAATAAATATTAGTATGATAAATATTAGTAGAATAAATGTAACTATAATAAATATTAGTATAAAAAATATTAGTATGATAAATATTAGTAGAATAAATATTAGTATGATAAATATTAGTAGAATAAATATTGGTATTTAAAAATAAATAATTGCCAAACCATTTGAAACATCTTCAGACATAGATTTGGCAGAAGCGGAAACGGGGCGATCATGGGTGTTATCAACATATCTCATTCCTTCAGGCAAAGTCATATCATCACTTTCATTAGCATTATACTGTGATACTAAAACAAGAGTTAAACAATTATTTCCATAAAATAAACAATTTAATGAACAAAATTAANCAGGAATGCCTCTCAGGAACCTTGTAACATGAGCTTGGATGTTCTCCACCGACTCCCAGTGCTTTCCCTTCAGCTCTCTTTTCAGTCGGGGGAGCAAAAAAAGTCACACGGCACCAAGTCAGGGCTATAGGGAGGCTGGGGTACCAACTCATCAATTCCAGAAATTCTTCACTGAGCAAAACTCGAAATTATTTTTGCTCCTCCTTTCGCATTTGCAAATCCTCCGTCACAATCCCATGTTCCACACATTTTGACAAGTTTAGGGTGTTAGCGATTACCTGAATGCTTAACCGACTGTCTGACTTCAAAACTTTACACACATGCTGGACGTTTCCATCGGGTCGGGCTGCTGCTGGGCGTCCAGAACAACGCTCGTCGGTGACCTTCTCCCGACCCTCCTTGGAGGCCTTGCGCCACCTTCCACACTAAGATCTCGAAATGCATTCCTCCTTAAAGTCGTCTTGAACCATGTGATGAGTTTCCGTCGCATTCTTCCCAAGTTGCACACAAAACTTAATCGCGTACAGCTGTTCAGGCGAACGAACACTCCATCACGCCGTGACTCGATCGAAAAAAAGACATTGCGCGAAGACACGTCCCACCACTCCTACTGCTAGGAGCGACCTGAGACCAGGCTTGTTTGGAAGGACAAATCTCCCACCACATTTTTTGACCAATCTGAGTGTACTGCGATCAATAGTCGCGTCACAATAAAATCATGTGCATTACTTTCAGAACGCACCCTGTATATATTGTGCTAAATGAATGACACATTAAATCTAATCAATAAGTAGAAGCACTTATAACACGCAATCAGTTAAGAGTTAAACAATTCCCCAAAAAAAAGTTATAATATTGATGTAAATAACTTAAGTAAATGTGGTGATGTGGTCTTCAGTGTCATGGAAAACTGATAAGTCTCACGTTACTAAGATACATTAAAATTTAACTACATTGTCCAGAAAGCTATAAAAACCCTCAGCACAGTCAATTCCTTCTTCTTCTTAAACTAACCATTATTACGTAGATACCTCATTGTTGCAACGTGGCCTTCCTTGCATTAAATAAAATAACAACTTTGTTTTGGTTTTCTATTTCTAAAGTACAACTCTTACTACACGACTACATTCTAAATTCAAACCGTAACACAGAGAGAGAGAGAGATTAGAATTACATACAATTTATTATCCACTTTGGGTTTGTTTAAAATTTGATGAAATAGTGAAATATAACAGAATATAACAAAATAAATAAATGCTATTTAGGTGGGGGGAAAAGAACACTGTGACTTTTGGTTTTTGAATTAAAAATAATAACGTGTTATTTTTTTTATTTATTCTAATTATTTATATTTTGACAGCTGATTCATACATTCATATTTTAAGTGAGCTTTTTATTCCAAACATAGCTTGAAATATATGTTTAAGAAAATAGATACAGAAAAATAATCCACCCTTTCAATGTTCATTCAAAATTTAACAACTAAACGTGAAATTTCATACTTATTTTTCCTTATCATTTTACATACTATGCATAATTATTATGGGGCAAAATCCTGGACTTCAGAGTCATGTTGCAATGTTACAGGTGTAACTTTTCAAGCATTAAACAATCAAAAATACCAAGATTATAAATTTACAGGACCTGTACCAACCTTGTCAGAAAGAACTGCTGACTGTAAACATTTTTTTTAAAAAAAAAGACTAGCTAAAAAAATGTACATGATTTAGACAAATAGATGACGTATGAGGTGACCTGGGTTCAAATCCCAGTAATGGCTGGCTGACACCGACCACAGTGCTGACGTAAAACATCCTCAGTGGAAGACGGATCATGGGTTAGAGTCCCCTTGCCGTCAGGTTAACTGTGAGAAGTTTTCATGATTTTCCTTTCCATGTAATGCAAATGCGGGTTAGTTCCATTAAAAAGTTCTCCACGAAGGCAAATTTCTCCCAATATTTGATCCAGAAGTTCCCTTGTCTTCTGGATTAGGTTCAAAATTACAAAGCTACAGAATTGAACATTGGTAGTCGTAAACTCAAAAAATTGGGTCGGCTGTTCAACGACCGTTATAAAAATATTAAAATAAAAATCTGATACGGAATTTATTTGGAGCCCTTAGGTTATTCTTTAAAAAAAAGATTCGTAAACATGCATTATGAGCTGCAGTTTAAAAAAACACACCAACAAGATTCTTTAGATTGATAAAGGAAAATTATTTAGGAATATTATGGACATATCTTAAAACTTTTATGATAAAAATACTGTATGGAATGATCTATATGAAAACAAGTGCATATTTGATCTATAACGTATCAAGTAAATTTGTATTTCATATATTATGTTAATCGTTCATGAATTTTTTATTATTAAAATTATTAATGATTAATATTAATTATTAATAATTACTAATAAACTGAGAAAGTAAATGATTTGAAGCTTGAAATAAAACATACCATCAACATATGACTCTCCCAAATTCAACTCAATGTTTTTCATAATTTTATCCAAAACCATTGTGATATGTTTCTTTAACTTTGATACATCTTTAAGAGGCTCTAAATGAGCATCGGGAAATTTCGTTTCATTACTACCTTTACCTAAGCAATTTTTCAGGAGATATATGAGTGACACATTCACTTTTTCTTCCCATCCCTGCAAAATACAAATAAAAAAACATATAAAACTGATTTTACTTTAAAAATTTATAAAACGGCATATTAATTGAATTGCAATGAACTAAATAGTTAAGGTATAATTCCAATCTCTAGAGATAAGTAATACTAAATTAACAATGGTAACTATGATTCGGTAAGAATTAATTTATTATGCGCCATAGAATTTAAAAGGTTAAGTTAATTTAGTACTCCAAAAAAAAACTACCATTTTTTGTTGAAAAGCTGCCTTGATACTTATAAATGATTTATCTAAAATTTCATGAGCTAGAAAAATATCTAACTGAATTTAACTTTAAATACCTAATTTTTAATTTTAGTGCAGTCTATCCAAGACTACACCATATGCTTAGGAAACACCAGGAATTAATATTTCTCAAGTCAGTCGGACCAACTCACACAAACCTAAATGTACTCTACAAAAAATCTTAACAAATATTTACATAGTCTTAGTAAATCCAACAAATTTTAACATAAATAGTGTAATATTATCTAACAAAATCTTAACAGCAGTTTAAATTTAAAATTAAGTTCTTTATTAAATTGCCTAATATTATTTCATTTTATTGCATAACTTTTTGTTATGAACAATTTTCTGACAATTTCTTCTAGAAAATTTTGAATTTTTTATTACAAAACAGAGTTTTTTTGCAGAAATAGAAATGTCAAGAACATCCTGAAGCTATTTGTATTCATAATCAAAAAAAATTTTTTTGTTGTTTTGTTAGTTTTTTTGTTTTATTTTTTGAAAAAACTTTGTTTGTTGCAGCTGTTGGTCCATTCCATTTCAAACAAGCCAAGTCTGTCAAGTACCAATTCTCTTAAGTAACGCAGTCTATATTCTTTCACAAAGATTTCAAATCTACCACTATATATTTACACAAAGACAAGCACAAAGCCATGTGGAACATAAACAAGCTAATTAGGCATCGAAGTTGTCAGTTACACAAAACAAAAATACATCACGATTACAATAAAATATACAAACAAATAATAAATCTAATTTTAGTAAAAGAAATAGACGAGAAAGAATTATATATCAACAAATTCGATGTATTATACAGCTTAGTATTTAATTAATTTAACATTAATTAGCATTTTAAGTCAAGTAGAGAAACTTAGCTCAACTTTAATACTCCATATTGCTGATAAAGATTAGATGGTGCTGACGTCATAGATCACATGTGTGGGTATTGGTTGTCTTCTTCTTCTTAGAGTGCAAGTACCCAATTGGTCTTTTTGATACAATTAACATATTGACAAAAAAATTTACCCATAAACACATTAATTTTATACTTTGTTACAATGTCCTTATGTTTCTAAGGAAGTGACTTTTAAGGAGAGAAAAAAATGATGAATCAGAAGCGAATTTAGATGGATAGTGAGCAAAGGTAGCAGGAAGTAGAGACTTCCACTTACTACAAAAATGCTTTAATCTTTACTAGTCAGAACATAAAGGGAACAACTTTGATATATCATAATGATTACTAGTCTTAAATTGAGTAATACTGGAAAAAATTGTTAAATTTTGTCTACAAACAGCATTTAAATAATATACCATTTACATGCTGCATAAGAACAAACATGTATAGTTGTTGAAGAAAATTTTTCTTTATGTTAGGAATATAGTTTAAGTATAAATTTTGGTTTTTAAATTTCAAAAAAAATTGCATTACCAAACATCAGTAATGAACATAAATAAGCAACTATACTTTACAATGTTGGCAAAATAGCTTAATTATTAAAACTTTCTTTGCACATTATTTTAATACTAATTTGTAAAGTCTTTCTCAATGATTGTACAAGTTTGCACAGCTATGACACTCTATTGTTGTGCAAAAAAAAGTGTTAGAAAAACCGATAAACTATCCAATTTAAAACAAACAGTCTAATGCTTAAATTTGAATATGCATTAACAAAGAAAATCTTTTATTAAAATAATTTCAAGAACAGTTCAGAAAAAATTATTAAATAGGTAACTGCATTAATTCATACAACACAGATATTTTTTTTTAAAAATATTCTGTGAAATTGATTATATATATATTTTTTACATATAGTAGAACTATTAGATTTTATTCACATCTTTTTCTACAAAATATAGCATAGCTTTTCCAAGTAATGACGCCCAGTGGCTGAGTGGTAGTGCTTCTCACTCCCTCGCCACAGGTCCTGGGTTCGATCCTCGAGACAGGCAAGGTTGACTCAGTCTTTCATCCCTTCAGTGGGTCGATAAATGCGCACCAAGCATGCTTGGGAACTAAACACTGGGGGTTTCGCGTTTCGCTGACCACCTAACCGGAACGTCTGCTCCTGTACCCCAGAGCTCAAGGTCAAGAAAACTGAGATGGGCACAGTAGGCCTTGGCCCTTTATGGGCTGTCGCGCCACTGAGTTTTAGTTTTCCAAGTAATACAGTTACCCTGATTGATCAATAATTGAGTGAATTCTTGGAAATATTATTATATAAATGGTATCTGTAGTTCTATTTTGAAAGTAATGTAATACCTGGTGTGAATCCAAATCAACCTGAGGTGAAAAGCAAGCAGAAAGAAACTTAAATTGATCCTCTTTTATATCAACTGACAACTTTACTAGAAGTAGAATAAGGTTAGTAGAACAGCTCAGAGCACAAGAACTAGCCTCTAACGCCTTCATGTGATTATCCATAGTCTCAGTTATTGACATAATCTAAGAAAAGTATTAATAAATTATTGAACATATACAATAAGAAAAAGAAGAAAATACAATTCAAAATATGTCATTTTTAAAAAAAACTATAATTACACCTTATTTAAATTTAAACATGGATCGCTTTGATGGGATTTTACTTCCTATACAAAAAACAAAATAAATAAATACATATTCAGTTTTTAAATAATTTAGTAAATATTAATCCGTATTCCCTTTAAGAAGAAAAAGACATTCTTTAAAGAAAAATAATGATTGAACATGCATTACAGTCGAAACTCGACTTAACATACTTTGATTTAACGAATTCTCCGATTTAACGAATATTTTCACTGCCCGACAAAAAGGGTGCTAAAATACTCTCATTTAACGAATTTTTACCTTTGATTTCAACGAAAAGCAATCAATGGGGAAAAAATCGCACATAAAACTAAGACTTTGAATCTTCCGCACTTAAAATTTTGAATATTTCACACCCTAATCCAAATCCTATATGTCTGTATTACGTATTAAGTTTTAAGAGCAAGTAGCGTTAAAGAATTAAGATCATTTTAAAGTTGATTTCCTAATGTATAACTTGTAATTTTTGAGCTCGTAGTAAACAATAATCAGCTTTTTCATATCTGTATATCTAAGGGTATTTTGCATTGATATTTATATACCATACTCTTTACAAAAATTGATATTCGATTTAACAAATTGATTCGATTTAATGAACAGAGATTTGTCAGTCCCAATCAATTCGTTAAATCGAGATTCAACTGTAAAGTTAATAGTCAATTTTATTTAAAATTACTGATTTCAAAACAATTTTGAAAGAACTAGATTTGAAGATGTGTACTTAAATTTATTGAATGAAGGGAGAGAAAAAAATTGTTTCTCTAGCTTTAGTATAAATCAGTTCAAATTGGATTTAAATTAATAATGAACCAAAATCATGTAGCAAATTATGAAATTCAAATATATAAATGTACTTCTTTAAATCTATTTGATTTCTCTTATACTAAACATATAAGTTTAAAATGTTTCTTTAATATGTTACATTTTGCTACTAGACCATTTCCCTAGTCAACCAGACACTAATATTCTAATATCAGAAAATATCAAATGCATCTTTCTGCTTTCTGATACAACATTATTGATTCTACAACCAATAGATCAAGATGATTTGGAATCTAATAAACATCTTTAAAAAAAAACAGTTCATAAAGAAGCTACATTTTGAGGATGATTATGCTTCTAAAAAGATTTCAATAATTAATTTTTTTATTAAAGTTTCAAAATTAAGATTGCACCTATCTGATCAACTTATTTTTTTTTTAAATATTAGAACCTCAATTTTTCAAAGTTTACTTGCTCAAAAAAAAACAATATTTTCTCTATAATATGAATACTTGATAATTCCTATCCCAATTATTTATAGTGTGTAATTGGGATCCTACTTATCCTACTTTATGAACTAAATTAAAATAAGCCATATTCTTAATTAACATAATTACACAGAATTGATATTTAAATTGAAAATTTACATTTTCAGAATTTATATTTAAATTTTGCAATTCCGGAATTGATATGTAATGGGTAGAAAACAAGAAATAGGAAAAATATCACTTTGGTAAATAAAATTTCTGAAAATAGATCATTTATATGCATAAATATTTTTATTTATAAAAAAGCATACATTTAATCATAAATGAAATGAATTAGACAAACATAATTTTCAGTTTCAAATACAATATTGATTTTTTAAACTCTCAACTATCTAAATTGATTGAATCTCAAATAATATAGAAAGATAAAAAAATTTGTAGATGCATCAGGGATACTAAAACATTTCTAAATTAATGCAAACAGCAATTTGTTGGAAATAATTAACTTGCAACAAATGCTGTTATTTTAGCTAGATTAATTCAATGTAAAGGATTAGGATAACCACAGAGCAGTAACCAAATTTACATGAATTTGGGACAAAATTTATAGGATGTTGTTATACCTGTCTATGGGTGGCTTCTAAAAGTGTATCCAAATTGTTCAAAGGTGTAGGAGTACTATCTTTCAGTTTTGTCAGCAACCTCTTCTGTACAACACGAAATTGCAAAGATCTATGAGCAATAATGTCTTCCACTTCATGAATAACTTGACGATTCTAAAAATGTATATTAAGTAATATTTTGTAAGACAATTTTCAAGCAAAATCAATTTTTTTCATTCTTTTCTTTCTCACTTTTTAATTGTGCTAAGAAACTTAGATTATAATATATAGAATCCTGGTTGCTCAGTGGTAGCGTTCCTGTGCCAAAGGTCCAGGGTTCTATCCTCAGGCTGGGAAAGTTTGAATCAACCTTTTGTCCCTACAGTGGGTCGGTACAATGAATACCAAGCATGCTTGGGGACTAAACATCCCGCTCCCCAAGCATGCTTGGGGAGCGGGAGGGGCATAGTAGGCCTTGCCCTCCTTGGGCTGCCATGAAACTAAGTTTATTCAACTATATTACGCAACTTCAAGTTTACATTTCACACAAAAAATAATTGCTGACCATTGCAGATTTTGTTTTTTTAGTATAAGAATAAAATTAGATTTGTTGTTTATTGAAGAATAAATAAAAATTAGTATAAACTACCACTCAGTATTTTCAATATACTATTGTTTATAAAGTTTTCTTCAAAATCAAGCAAAATATGGTGATCCAATGCAAATTTATCAACACTGTTGCTTGTAAAATCGCTTTGATTCATTTCTGTGCCTAACTTAGGGTTGTATAAAGGGAAAAACAATTTCTTTACCATGTTGTACAAAAACAATCATTTTAGAACTAAGTACAGACCACTGTATATAGTAGGCAAAGTACAGTGGGCAAAATTAAAAACGGATCACCCTGAATGACTTTTGATCTAATAATCTGATTTTCACATTCTATGACTCAATCTTAATGTTTCGAGGAGATTACCTTAAACATGCTAGTTAATTGGTGCAGACAATATTTTATGTTATGAAATCAGACAAAGATGTACTTTCTCTGAATAAACATACCTTCTTTTCGAATGATTTGATTTCTGACCAGCAAAATATAGGGGGTAGCCACAACAAGGAAATATGGTCTCTATAGTTTGGTCAGGAGAGCTGTCTGAAGTTTGAGCCCCCTAATGTTAATTTTAAATTTTGCGCATTTCACCAAATCTTTCAAATTTTTTTAAGAGAATTGAAAAATTTATGCACTTAATTATAAAATTAATTTATCCAAAGATAATTCTATGCAAAAAATATCCTATAGTATTTATTTATCATTTTTTATTATTTTATTTTATAATAGTCGAAAAAATTTGATTTGAAAGATATACAATTTTTTAAACCATTTTAAGGAGTGCAATTTTAAATGGCGAATTTCAAATTTTGAACGAAATCGGTCAAAAATAATTCTTGAGAAATCGAATTTTGAAAAAGTCGTATTTTCAAAATTCGATTTCTTAGGAGCTATTCGAATTATTGGAATTTTTAACCGTTTTATTTCAACTTTGATTACACCTTATTACATATTATAACATTAAAGTTCTTAAATAAATTGCTTATACAAAACTTACTGTAAAGTTATCTTCAATAACTTTGAAATATTCCTGGAGTGGAAGAACGGACGTAAAACTACATTGCAGTTTAGAGTTATCAGCTTCCTTCCGATACTTGTGCTGCAGTCTTCGCACAAGTTCAGCAACAGCAAGCCACAGGACGGGAAGTTGATCACTTTGCAATCTATAACGTTCTGTAGGAAGGAAAATTAAAAACTTTCATTAATATAGGAGAACATGATAAAATATTCCTATGAAGGCCTGTAATTAAAGCAACTAATAAAATTTAAAGTTTAAAATATGAAATAAAACAAAAATACTAAAATTAAAATAATAAAATAAACAATAATTTTCAATTTTTCTTAAACCTATTAATATTTGGATGAATTTCTACTTACGAGCATTTTTGGAAGGCAAAATAGAAACTATTGATCCAGAAAAAAACTCAATCCCCAAAGCACCTCCAGGATATGATGCATTATCAAAATTTAAATCTGTCAAAAGAAACTTTTCTTAGGTACTTAAAATTACTTTTGATAACATATTGATATTTCATGATATTTCAATGATATTTAATGATTTATTTAGATAACTACTAAATTAAGACTTCTCCTCTTTCGCTTTATCGCTTCTCCTCATTCCATCTGGTGACCAGTGCAATGTGTTTTTCTCTTTCTTTTTGGCATGTTTCTTAATATATGGCCAATCCAGTTTCGTCTTATCTTTTTTATATCTATTGCTAATTACTGGATTTACGGTATAGATTCATATTACTTATCATGTTTGACCATTAGATTTTCAATATTTTTCTTAAGCATTTTGAGTAAAAGTCATCTATTTTGTTTTCCTGCTACTATGTTAGTTTCCAAGTTCACTTATCGATATAGTATGTCTATTTCATTAATCGTTTTTAAAATTTGAATTCATCAATCTCATTTTGACACACTATAGAATATTTTTAATGTAATTGTATGAAAGTGTTTTACTGATGCTAATCTAACGAAACAAACTATAAATGAATTAGCATTAAGAACATGCCATAAACTCTAAAGGTAGTTATTTTAATTTCAAAAGATGTTACTATTCTAAATTCTTATACGACCATATTTAAACTATTGAAAACATAAATATTTATATTCTAATTAAAAAGTGGTCTTAATTCTATGACAATGGTGGAATTTTTATGGAAATGGCTTGAGAAAGTTTGAAGTAGACAGAGCAGACTGTCTTCAAATGAATCTACACAAAATTTGGTTCAAAAAATTGTTTGAGAATTGATTTCTATAAGAAACATACAAAGAAACGTTTATATACATAGATGTGATTTGTATACCTCATCTAAACAATATATCTTAAAATTATATTGTGAAATATAATAAGGAAGAAAACACTATTTACTTGTTGAAATAATTTTCATTAAAACACTCCTGAAATGCTTACAGATAAAAAAAAATAATAATAATTTTTCTTTAAAATATGGTCTACTTTTTCTTCAAAGGGGTAAGAAATGTAACAGAAAAACTTAAATAAGAAATAAAAATTCATAATTTTCATACCAGGAAAAAGTTCAGTTAAAAGCAGAGGTTTTTTATTGATATCAATGGTGATTTTCAAATCTGCCTCTTTCACAGGCGGGCAAGGTTTTGCTACTACACAAAAGGGTAATAAAGCTGCTGCATCAATCACTCTTGGGGCTCCTACAAATTACATTTGAAAAGCTATATAATGAAACATTTCAAAGAACATAGGCTATCTTATGATATGGAATTCGTAATATAAAATTATACATTTCAAATAAATTAAGTTGGTCACAAAGGAGGAGAAAATAATTCTGCATTATTATTTAAAAACAAACCAAGTGTTTTGAATCTGTATAGGGTTTTTTCTATAGTAAACTTAAGAACTACAAGGCTATTGTCTGCTATTTTCAAAACATGAGAATAATTTCTACATGCTTAAAAAATAGCTTTTAAATTTTACACATCTTATAAGTTATAGCTCATTAATATGTAATAAATAAATATTCTAATATTGTAGTGTTCCAACTAACACAAATAAGATAAAATATAAGTTCCTTTTCATAATTTAATTTTGGGACTAATATACAAATAGAAAATATTGACTCTCTCAACTAAAAAGAAAACTATCATTCTTTTAAAATAATGAAAACAAAACATCATATCTTGTGTATCAAAACACCATATCAAGAATCACTTCTTGATATGGTTTGAAACCTGAGCCATGCTGTAATTTCAATGGGATACCTGCAAGTGATATAGTGTGGGTATCTCGATCCTGATCAGTTGTTGAAACGCGAGTTTTGTAACAACTGTTCTTTCCATTCTACTTTGTGTAAGCCATGCTCGTCAAGTATCAATTCTCTTAAGTGACTCATTCTATATTCTTTCCCAAAAATTTCAATTCCTCCACTATTTATTTCTTACTAAATGCAAGGACAAGCATGGAGTCATGTAGAACATAAACAAACTAATTATGCATCAAAGTTGACAGGTATACAAAACAAAAAAATATCATGGATAAAAAAAATTCTATAATAACATATTATCACACTTATTGCTAATTGCTTGTTAGGGCCCGTGAACTAAAAATGTCACCCATGAAGGGAGGGGTTAGTGAAAAGGGGGAAGGTAACAAGAAGTGAGATTGCACATATTTCGGTAAAAATAAAAATAACTAAAATCAGCAGATAATGTATTTTTACATTACTTGCTGATAAATTCTTTTGTTATTTACACCAAATTCAGTATACATATAATCATTATTAATGTTATACTTGCTAATGTAGTCAAAACACATAGTTAAAAATAAAAAATAAAATTTAAAATATGGTCTCTAACATGGTTCCTTCTTTTTTTTTTAGCTACAAGTACTATATGTAAACGTAATACAGACAGACTTTTGACAAATGGGGTAGGGGTTATAATTGTGACACTTTGCAACTAAAAGATGGAAAAAAAGGCCATTAGCAATAGGTTTCAATGTTAGTTTTAATTACATTGTTGTACGGGGAAATATAAATAAAAAAACTTTAAAAGTTTTTGTTAGATATAATTACTTACAGTTTGTAAATTAGCATTTAATAATAGATAAATAGAATAGCATTTTCGACGCCCGGTGGCTGAGTGGTAGCGCTTCGCGCTGCCGTGCCACAGGTCCTTGGTTCGATCCTTGGGCCGGGCAAGGCCGANACATTGCTGTACGGGGGAAAATAAATTTAAAAAAACTTAAAAAGTCTTTGTTAGATATAATAACTTACAATTTGTAAATTAGCATTTAATAATAGATAAATAGAATAGCATTTTCGTGCAGAGAAGTCTCCATTTTTTGTTGATCTCAAATTTATTTCTATTTGGTAACATCAATATTGAATACAAATCATACCATAGCTGTTTGTAAATACTGCATGAGCTGTGATTTTCAAACTTGGAGGAGGGTATGGAGATTGTAATGATACTACAACTACAGCACTTGAGCCCTCTATCACAGATCCAAATACAAATACATTCTGGGAGACTTTCAAAGGTAGTTGAACATGAATCATTAACCGAACATCATGGACAACAGTTCGACATTTCAGATTAATCTGCAACAAGAGATAACAATTTGATAGGGATAATAAATTAATAATATTTAAACCTTTATCAGCAAAATAACCAAATTTTGATATTTTTACAAATGGATAAAAACTGCAGGACATAAATAAATACTTATGTATGAAGGTTGTTTTAAATAATGTCAAATAAATTTATTAATGTAGAAAATTCTATTACATATATCAAGAGATTTTAAAAAAATCACATTGTTATTTAAGTATTTAGAGTTCAATTTGAATTAAATTACTTTAAAAAATGAATACTTTAATCAAAGACATACTTTTGACACAGTCACTACATATATATTTACAAAAAGATATACAAATTGTAAAGTTAAGTATAATATACTAGAAAATAAAAAGACAGGCATTTTAAGGTCATAAGTTTTAAAAAAATTTAGTGCTTTTAAAGATCTAACCATTTGGAATTAGTGCTTAGCATGCTAAAGCCTGCTAATTCTAGTCTCCACTTGTTGAACCAGCCGTTAACGAAAAATTGTCAGATCAAATAGATAATTTTAAACTACAAAAACTAATTATGATTATTAATTTAGTTATTTTATTATAATTATTATTACAATTTATTACTACACTACAGTTAGAAAAATAAGTAACTTTCAATAAAATTAAATGTGATTTAAAAATATTAATCAACATGTGTAACTTAAAAGTAAAGAACATATTATAGGCGTTCGAAATAGGCTACAGGTGGTGTAGAGCAGAATTCTCTACCTATGGCAACACTTTGCATGTTTTCACCACTAGCGTGTGGAGAATCATGGCAGAAGGAAGTACGTTAGTTTCTGTCTTGATTTTCAAATAAATTAAAAACTTTTAAGTTAGAAACTGAAAACTACATTGAACATAGTTCTAAAACAAAGCACCATAGAGTTTTTAAAAATATTTGTGACTATGAAAAATATTGAGAAAGGGAAAATATCTTAGTACATTCCTCTACAATTGAGAAGAGGAGGAGAGAGAAGAGTGAAGCCATGAAACCGGTCTTCTCCCCCGATGGCTTATTTGAGTGTTACGAAGGTGAATATTCAACACAGTAGGAAGAAAATAAACACTGATTTATTGCAATCTGAACAAAACTTACACATAATTACAAAAACTCTTTACATCAAAAATATATTTACTTTTACAGGCACAGATGGGAAAGGAGAATGTGAATTCCCTTCAATATCTCCAATTTCTGAAGTCTGAAATATAAAGCACAATTTAAATATTACTTTTTTACACAAATACATTTCATAAAATTTTATGTAACTGATTATGAAGTTTAGAACTGAACTTGTGTCATTAATTTTGTCAAATATATTAACAGATAGCAATAACTATTGCAATACGTGTCAGAATAAGAACATGAATAAATTACAATTTATTTACTAGTTATGTCTATATAAACAGACAGATATAATTATTGCAATAATTGCCAGAATAAGAACAGGAATAATGTACATTTCATTTACTAAATTTGCCAAAAATAGAAACAGCAATAATTATAGTAACACTTGTCAGAATACAAAAATGGATAAATTACATTTTACTTACTGATTTTGTCAAATATGCAAACAAACAGCAATAACTATTGCAATACTTATCAGATTAAGAACATGAATAAATTATATTTTTAAGCAGTTTCATTGAATATAGAACAGAAAGCAATAACTATTGCAATATTTGTCAAAATAAAAGCACATATTAAATTAAATTTTATTTATTTACAGGTATGAATTGAATGCACTTTATAACACTTAAATAATTAAGGGCTTTAAGTTAGGTGAATAATCAGATTTTTTGGTTTTTCGGTTTGATAAATTTCTGCATTCCATATCTAAATTAATTATGAACAAATAAAAAAATTTCTCTTCAAAGTTTTTTTTTCTAGTCAACAATTCTAACTTCCTGAATACTGCAATACAATAACTGAATTATAGCCTCCAAAAAGTATGTAATATTAAATTATTATAGGCATAAACTAAATGCACTTTTCAAAGTTAAACAAATTCAGAATCTTTAATGGACTCCGATTTAATAGATTCTATGTCTTTCCAATATTTACTATACTTTGTTCCTTTCATAACATGAACCAATTATAAATAAATGAAAAATATCCATTATGTGCTTTTTATTCCAATTGACAGTTCTAGCTACTTGATTATAAAAATGAGAAGGGAAAAAAAGCATTAACGTCTCTAAAAAATCTGTAATACTGAATCATATTAAATTGTATATTGTGCTTTAATCTTGTCAGTTAATCTAAGTATGTACCAAAATTTACTTAAAATAAGATTAACGCTAGGATTTGGTAATAGTTTTGCTTTTGACAATAAAATATAAATTTATAAACGATATTGATTTGATTTTAAAAAAAGTAGAAAATAAAATTTATGAAAGAATTCTTAAAAATATCATTCAAAAAATACTTTCAAACCTACATGAAAACCTTTCATGAATCTAAAAATGAATGTATTGATAATATATATACCACAGATAATTCATTTAAACTTACCTCACCATTATTTAGAAGATTAGATACATTAATTGACAATGAAATTTCGTTTCCAAGCTTTTGAGTGCCAAGTAAATCTAAAAATAATAATAATAATAATTTATCCCACTTGCCTTCTTTTTAATAATTACAATAATTAAATGAAGTATAAAGTAAATAAAAATTTAATCAACATTGTAATATGTTCATTACTTTGTTCATATAAAAACTTAAAAATCAATAAATTATACAAAAATACTGTGAACTAAAATATCACATTAATTTTAAAGAAAAAAAAATTAAGTAAATTAATTTTTAAAAAAAAGCAAAATTACTTTGATTTGATGATTTTATAATTCTTTTCAACCTATTCATTTCTTCTTCTGCTTCTTTAAAATCTATTTCTTTCGGCTCTGATAAAGGTGATACAAACAGTGAAGGTTCAGTTCCAAGATAGCAACAGCTCAAGTTGCCTTGTTCAGATATCATCGTTAAAATTCCTTTGATATCTCTACAAGAAATACATTTTTCTAAATGGTTATAAACTGTAATGGGGGATATATATTCTTTGTTTCATTTCAGCAAATAATTGCCTAATGCGGATGTAGAATCAATTAGTTTTGCTCCTGAAGCTACAGATTTAAACAACAGTTTTAGCCTATTTATTTAAGATATGCACAAGTTTAAAAGAAAATATAACAGGGAAACACGTAAATGTAGTGACAAACTTCTAGGGGAGTTAGGTCACGTTATCAGGATTAAAACTGCATAAGAGCCCATGCCCGGAAGTGTCTTCATACACAGCTAGGGGCGCTTCTCTAGTATAACCTGTTCAAAAGCACACAAAGAAACAAATCATAATACGGAAAGTACCCCTAGCGGCTTATGACGACATTTCTGGGCATAAGTTCTTCTGTAATTTTAATTAATTTTAATCCTGACTCACCTAGAATTTTGTCACAACAGTTATGCGACCTCTAGTTATAAGTAACGTTTTAAAACTTGTACATGTTGATAAAAAATGCACTAAAAATGACATTTTAAAAAAATCTGTAACATGGAGAGGAACACTGAGAGCAGATTTAAAATCAGTGAGAGCATCTAAGACCTACGAAAAAATCTTATGCTACAGAAAATAATAATAGTCATAATAATAAAATATTACTCACCACTGTTGCTTAATTATTACAACCATTAATAATAAAAAAATATCAAAATTCTGTATTTTTGATTTAAAATATGTAAACTATGACAGGTGTAACATGCAGCTTTTTGCAAGGAAAATAGTTACATTTGGAATAATTAATAGATTAAATAAGATAATATAAACAATGTTAAAACTTAAATTGTTGAGCTTATAGGAAAATTCATACCCTCAGAGTTCCATACAGTATTCAAAATATTTTAAAAAAATGGATGAGAAAGCAAGAATATCATTACGCAAAACAAGTTTCGAATAAATAATAAAATGGTTAAAAATATTTTGAATCAAACATATTAAGTAAAAACATATTGTTATTCCTCTATACTGAATTGAATTCAAGATACACTTCCTAATATTGAATTCAAGATAAATTCCAAATTTAATACCCTAGATTTTTTTTTAACAGTTAAAATTAGGATTCCTGTTAAAAACTTAATAAAAGAAACCCAACTTTCGATTAAAAATTTTTTGTCATCTTGCTTATTTTACAATTTAATAATTTTTTATCAAAAATTTTTTGCTTAAGAATTAAGCAAAATTAAGTACACATTTAAATAATTTTATTCAAAAATTATGATTAAAAACAAAACTTATGCATTTGATATTAGTATTATTATTGTTTTAATTTATAACTGTCGTTAAACAGCCGAACCAATTTTCGTATTTACAATTATGTAGCTTTGTAATTTTAAACCCAATCCAGATTACAAGGTAACTCCTGGATCGAGTGTTGGGATAAATTTACCTTTGTAGAAGACCTTTTGATGGAACTAACCTGCATTACATGGAAAGGAAGACCACAAACCTCCCACGATTAGCCTGAAGGCAAGGGGACTTTAACCCATGATCCGTCTATCGCTAAGGATATTTCACGTCAGCACTGTGGTCGATGCAAACCGGATGCGGAATTCGTATAGACCAGCCATCGCTGAGATTTGAACCCAGTTCGCCTCATTGGAAGGCGAACGCTTTGAGCCTTTAGATATTATGAGCTTTTGTTCCAGTAGATTATTTTACTAGATTTAGATAGATCTACCAGAATCTAGTAGATTTTGATCTAATAGACTACAATTAAGATGGTTTGCTATGTAATAACATTTATTGATATGTATTCAGGCACTATCAAAGTTTATGTATATACATAAATCAATTTGTGGAGCCACAGAATTATAAATAGTCCTGGGTCAAATGTTTAAATGAATATTTTTTAATGGCAGCTCAGAATAAATTCATTTTAGTTTCAACAAATGAAAACTAATTTGCTTTTTTTCCTAACCTGATAGCTAGTTTCAAGAATCTAAATTTCTTATACAGGGTGTTTTTCAAAGACTGTCCTTAATATATATTTTTAGAGCCCTCATCAAAAAATGAAAACCAAAAAGTACACACCTTGGATGTAATAATAATCGAATATTTAAGCAAAGTAAAAACTTAAACATTTTTTAAATCTGAGAAATTACAGTAGAATTACAGAGTGGTTGTAAAAAACATCAAAACAGGTTTAACCTAAAGTTGAAACTTAAAGGTGTTTCTAACAATTGTCTCTTAACATCTGCAATGAAACTAGTCTTGCTGTTTATTTCAAATGTCTATCTGCAATGTGATTTGCCGAATTTTGATAATATATTTGTTTTTCCCACATTAAATTTGGATTTGAGATCCCAGATTAATACACTTTTTTGTTTTAATTTTCATAAGGATTCTAACAATATATTTTAGAACATTACCAAATGCCCTACATATACTTTTTGCTCAAAATATTTTGCATTTCGTTATAAATAATTTGTTATCCAATTTATACAACATAAAAAAGATCAATAGTCATATCATACACGTGCGTTTTTTTTTATATAAATGAAAAATCAAAACACACAAAAAAAGTAATTTCAAATATTGATTACTTACGTGAAAAATGCTCGATTTATACTAACGGGGGGAAACATCAATTGAACAGCCCATTTTAATTGAGTTTCATGATAAACCAAAAGTGTTTGATTGGATGTAACAATAAGAATCAACAAATATCCATGATGCTCTGAAAACATAATTAATAAAGGCTTTAATAAATAAATTGGAACTTAGTTTAGTGCAAGTTTAACTTATACTGTCCAACTCGGATCTAGTATACATTGTTGAAAAATTCAAAGTATACTTTAAGGCAATAAAACTAAACAAACACAAATATCGGATTTTTTTTCATTGAAATAATTACATTTTTCTTCGTTACTAAATAAATTACATTTAAATTTTAAACTGTCTCAGGTATTTAAAAAATTTAACTATATTTGTACGAATTTAAATTCCAGATTTCATGGAGATTTTCAAGCCCTCAATACAGAGACGACCAATTATTTACAACATTTTTGACCATCTGATGAGCATTGTTAAATAGAGGCTTTTTCTGCATTTTAATTCAAATATGTTATTTTTCCTGTTTTGTGTACAGTGTGTTTCAATACGTTAAAATTGATTATATGAAAAGTAGTTTCTTGTTACAAGATATTAAATGTCAAATAGGAATGATAAAAAATGCATCAACCATAGTCGAGTGTGTAAACATTAACAATACTACAAAAATTTTAGATTTGCAAAGATAAATTTAAATAGATTTGAAAAGTGATAGACTTCAATTGAAAGACGCAGATTAGTTTAAATACAGATAGATATTGGTTGAATTGAAAACTAACATTTATAATAAAGTAAATTTTCTTGGTAATATGGTTTTGTTATTACTTAAGGTATGTTATGATACCTTAATACACTTACACTTTTGTGTCAAGATTTTGTTTGTTTTTTTTTTTTTGTAGCAAACAAACATTTTGAATTCTTTTTTTTCGAATCACGTCTGGTTTAGGAAAGCTTTAGCATTTTGGAAGATTCATTCCTTCAAAATAATGAATTTAGGCTTAATCACTAGTATTTTGTAAACAGTGTTTAATTTCTGGCTAATACCATTTAAATTTTTATAATTCTTGGGATTTTACCCAATATTAGACAAAATTAAGAATTCTGTATAGGGGCACAAGAAGTCAAAAAGACATTTTACTGAAATATGTTATGCTGTTAAAAGCTGCAAAGCAATGATCATGTAATAGGAACCAAACTAAACACAATATGAAGCATTTATTAAACTGCCAAAAAAATTAAAAATATATAATGTTGTGNAAAATGATGTATTGGAAAAGGTTAACTTTCAGGATGTCTTGAACGATTTTGTAACAAAAAAAGTTAGAAGAGTTAATATTTAAGCTTATTGTATGATTTTTTTTAAATGCATATATTAATTACTTATATTCTTTTCGTTTGATTCAATATTTTTATTGAATAATGTGATAATATACCTATGTAGTAAAAAACAGCGTAATTATGAATAAAGTGTTGTGTTAGCGAAAAAATATATTAGGAAGTTAGAAGACGGTAGGGGGGGGGCGAGACGAGTATTGCCTAGGGGCCGCGACATGCATAAGCCGGCCCTGCCCAAGAGTCAACTGAATAACCCCATCCGGCATCGACTTTTTATGTATCATCATAACTTTAGATTTCAAAGGATTGAATTCTAAAGTTATGATGTTATGAAAGTTTCGACCATTCAAAAACGTAATCCAAGATATTCTGAGAAAGAACACAAGTCTGTTTTTTAAATTGTCAATCATTTTTGGGGTACCCTGTTATACATGTAAAATAAATGTTATAACATGAGATGTTGCAATAATAATATGGCTAACAAATTAGCTAGTGCAGCTTTTATAGTTCCAATTATTTAAATGAAAAACAATTTTAGACTATTTGTAGAATTAAAATCATATGAAATAAATGCTGATATAAATATGAACATATTTAAGTCAAACATTTGTTTGTTTTTTATAAATTAGAAAAATTTTAAAAGCACATAAATCTATTTAATTTAAGTCCTTTATCAAAGGATTCTATAATTACAAAAACAACATTGGAATAAATGTAAGATAATAGATTTATTGTTACATTAGTGATAATTTTTAAAACTGCTTTACCAAGGCTTTAAAATTTAAAAACATAGCTTTTATATGAAAGTAAACAATGAATTACCTAAAATTAACAGACAAGAAGATGCCTTGTCTTCAACTACAGCAATGTCTAATGCAGTATCTTCCAAAACATAGGTCCATTCAGGCTGCATATTTTTTAAAAAGAATGACTTTGACTTAGAGAAAAATTTACTTAAATAATATATAAAAATTATTATGTAAAATTACATTAAAAAGCTATCATACTTTGACTTTTTTTCCTTTGAATCCAGAGGACTCATTTTCATTTGAGTCATCTGTTGCAGAAGCTAATGCCTGGAATCTATAATTGAACAAAATAATAATAATTATTAAGAGAGAGTGATGTTAAAAGCATAAATGATTAAACATATTAAGTATTTTATTTTTTGATACTTTAAATATAAAAAGGATGATTAACCTGAGGCATGATTGCCACAGTGTGGCATAGCACAGTTTATACAGTGATATGTAAGGACTTGTTAAAAAATCCATTTTAAAAAAATCTGTCTGCTTCAAGAACTTAAATAAAAATCCATAAAAACTCTATTACACCAATTATATTGAATTGTACCAACAAACAATTTTTACTTATTTACATGATTAGTATGTGAGATATTATTGTAGGTTTGAATCAGCACACAACTGGGCAATAATGTTTTCGATTTTTACATAATAAAATCAAAATATCGTTCAAGTTTACGATGATTTTATGTACCACACACCCTTGATTTTGGTAGCCATCCCGGTAATGGCTTGATAAAAAAAATCATAAACTTCAAAAACCACATAATGAGTATTTAATAATTATGTAAAATTAAATGCTACAAACTATTCATTTGTATATATAACCTAGCTTATTGAATCTTTAAAAATGTTTATACACAAAAAAATCATATGTTTCAACTTTTGCTTAATTTATTATATAAAAGTTATGTAATCAGACACAAAAATGTACTTTCTCTGAATATCGGAATAAATATATGATAAACATTTTTCTGATCATCAAATTATTTGTAGTAGCCACAATGTAGAAAATATGTCATAGTTACAATAGTTTAGTCAGGAGAGGGGTTGATAGTTGGGACTCCTTAAAGTCAATTTTACTTTTTGCTTATTTTGCTATGTCTAAGAGAATTTTTAAATTAATTCAAAAGTTTCGCACGCAATTTAAAAATTTGTTTAATCAAAAAAAATTTTATAATTATTTATTTTTTTATTATTTTATTTAATAATAATTGAAAAAATGTCTAATTGTAAAGTTTACACATTTTAAAGAATGTAATTTTATATGGAAAAATACAAAACTTGAATGAAATGAGTGGAATAGTTCCTGAGAAATCGAATTTTAAAACAGTCATATAAATTCAAAATTTGATTTCTCAGGGACTAATTGACTGATGTTGCTCAAAGATAAATGAATAAAATTACATTCTTTAAAATGATGTAAAAATACAATTCAAATTACAATCATTTTATCAAAAGTCATTTACGATGTTCCGGGTTTTTTTCTAGCACTGACTATAAATATTTACAACCAATATAAGTTTACTACTAAGGACTATAAGGTGAAAGAACGAACATTTCAAGCAAAATCTAGGACTTAAAAGTGAAATAATACTGCAATTGCTGAATAAAAGCCATGCTAGAACATATTTTACAAATATAGACACAGCTCAAAATGTCTGTTTACGAAAATTGACAAACCACTTGATTCCGGATTTCAAACTTGTTTTATGAGTATTGTTCTTATTCTTAAAGAATAAACTAATGAATCCAAATAAATTCATAATGTTATATCGTTATTTGCAAAAATCACTTGGTACATTTTATCAAAGTAATTATTTTTTAAAAAAGGCTTTAAAAGTTAAGAGCTGTTTTTACAAGGTAACAATGAGGGCTATAAACTTATAGTAGTGGTAGTTAATTTAAATTGTAAGAATTTAAAACTCACTTTATATTGAATAAGAAGGGATAAAATTATATCTGTTATAAGCCTAGCCACCAGCCAGGACTTTATCCCATAATTCCAGGACTTTGTCCCATAAACGCTGTTAAGCACTACATTTTTAATTGCTAGTTTCACAATGCAGAAAATAGTACACAAAGAACTTATTTTAACACTTGGATTAAAACTTTTCATTCATTATTTTCAGGGAAACTAAACATGAATTTTTATAAAATAAATTCTGATTATGAACAGAAAAAAATTAACTTTTAAAACAATAAGTATGAACAAATATAATAAAACACACATATTTCAGTGTATTTGTCAGATTAGAATCACAGAATACAAAATACAAAACAGTATACAAAATGGGTTTACAAAATAATAAACTACTTAGTAAAGAAAAATAAAATAATAGACTAATAATATCAACAATAATGGATTCCAACGAAAATTGCAAAATAAATCATTTTGAACAAAGCATTAAAAACCAGTAAAATATTTTTAAAAAATAAAATTTTCTAACAAAATTATTTTATAAAAATCTGTTAACAGCCTAAACTTTTATGTTTTCAGAATGATTACCTGTAACTTTCAACAGAAAATCCATTTACTGTAATAAAAGAATCTGTTTTGAGTATGTAACTGGTTGGTCCGGGTAATAAACTATTAGGAAGATATCGACTGAATGAAAATCTTTCTTGTTCAAAAAAACAAAGAGTCCCATCTAAGCAGTAAATGCATATCATGTCTTTTCCTAAATATGAAAAAGGAATTGTATGAATGATAGTAAAATGCTAAAAATTCAGATGAAATAAAATTATTTATAACAAGTACAAAACTGACTTAGTACACTAAGCATTAGAAAAGGTTTTATATAATACCTTTTTTGACACTATAACTAGCTTCATAAAATAATTTACATCAACAATTCGGCACAATAAAATCATCCTATATAAACTTTATATTTTATGATAGTTTCATCATAATGTTTTAGCAACATTTCATCTTATTAAAAGATAATTTATTTTAACATGCAAACATTTATTAAGTATTGTTATTTATTAAGTACTTTAATATTATTTCTACCAAACAGTACCAAAATACACTTTAAATTTTAATTTTAGTTATCTCTCCGCAAAGAGGTGTTTCTTCCCAAAATTTAATTATTTCACTACAGCTATTTTTGTTTAAATTTTTGTACTATAGCTGTTATTTCAGTGCTACTATTTTGCTTTAGGTTATTCTGGATCTTGGCATTATCATGTTGTCATGCCTTTTTCTATAATGAAGTGTTTTCTGACACCTTGAAAGATTATATAAAAGAGTCTTATTTTTAAATATCAATACAGTTTTGCAGTAAAATATCGATTATAATCACGTTAAAGTATTTTTTATTTCAGTAGCAAAGAAAAATACAAGAATTTTTGTATTATTTTGTTTTTCGTCATGTTGCCTTTTAGTGCATTCATTGCTTTAACTAGTTCTAAAAAGTTAACAATAATGTAGCTGCACAGAGGTAAATATCAATAAGTATATTGCTCAAGTAATGTATGTTTACCTCATGATTTGATATCTTAAGAGTTTTAGCAGTTAGTTTCATTTAAACATATAGGTGATCACATTATAAATAGTCTTAATTGTTTTTAGTGTTGAATAATTTAGAGCAAGGTGTCACTTTGAAAAATGATGAATAAAGGATGAAAAATTATGAAATAGTTTTTATCTGTAGAAACCTAATTAATCAAAAGTTAGTGCAAATTTGCATTTTTATTTATAAAAATATTTTAATTTTGGCACTAAGACTCATTTTTATTATTGTCTAAATTTCCTATGCATGATTATAGCATTTAGATACCTATTTTTCAATAAAGGAAATATTTTGAGAATTCTCCTAATTTAAGAGAAAACTAAGCTAAATGTTTCTGTCACTCATTGCAACCAAGCAAAGATTTATTATGGATAAAAAAAAAAATATTTTAACTGTTATCTTTCCAACTGTGTTAATAGTTTGGCATTCTAACTAAAATAGAATTAATTAAATGCTGTTTACAATAAACTAATGTAGTAATTTTCTATGATTTAGCTTAAGATAGACATTCTGCAAAGGAATATCATCTAATAATCTTAAAAGTTAACACTTCATAAAAATATAAGCCTATTTTTCTAATAAAACAGATTTTGGATTCACACCTTAAGCTTACAAAACATTCTTAATTAATAAAGGGTTAATCAATACAAAAAAGTACTTAAAACAACACAATATAATGCATTATAACAATCTTTATTGGTATTAAATTGCAATGTTCGATACCTTGAATCCCACCAAAACGTCCAATGGTAAGGGAAAATGCATGCCTTTGTAGATTGTGTTCATATATGAGAGATAATTTACTCTGGGTCCCATGCTCCACACTTCCTTGTACAGCTTAATGGAAAAAAAGAGGCTTATTATCATACATAACAAAAAAGATGTACACCCAAGTCAAAATTCTTGATGATCCCATCAAAAAATTTTGATGGTTTATGTTGGTTTCAGCGCGATTAATGAAGGTCCAATATCATTTGATAGTCACCATCATCCAATTTTTCCATTATGCGTTCATAGTTTTTTATATGCCAACAAATTTCCATCATTCCATGTGGGAAAATGCTACTTTAATACTATGATGGTTAACCATCAAGAGAAGTTTTTTTTCTCTTGGATAAACAATCCATGATAATCCGTGACGGTCCATGATGGTTCAAACTATACATTTCCATGATTTTTTTTAACAGGTAGCCTTGTTGGTTCACAGGAATATACCACCAAAACCATTTGTTTTTTAATGTTGGTCTATCATATATCAGTCCTAATTCCTTCGTTGGGATGATGGCTGTTCATGATCGTTCCAACATTTGATTTCTAAGATACTACGATGGAAATTCGTGATTATGCATAATGGTACAACAATGCATTTCCATGATAGTTTAATAATAATCTCATTCACTCTTGTTCATTCAGCAGGAAGGTTATGATGCCATTGAATATACCATCAAAACAATTTGGCTGTTTTTATGTTGGCCCATAATAAATCAATCCGAATTCCTACATTGGGATGATGGAGGTTTGTAATTGTTCTAATATTTAATTTCTAAAAAACTAAGATTAAAATTTCTAATGGTTAAACATAAACAAACCATCAAAACAAGTTTTTAATCTTATGGTGGACCATTATAAATCAGTCCAAATTCCTACATGGTGCTGGTTACTTCTGTAGGTTATTATCAAAAAATATAATGGTTCATGTTTGAATTATTGATGGCTACCATCAAGATTATGTTGGTCCATCAATAGAAAACCATCAAAGTTTTGACTTGGGCAGTTAAATTTCATGTAAAAAAAGTTATTTCTTTCATTATTTAAAATATTTATTTTCTTTAGAAAAAAATATTAATATCTACAACTGTGTGATGTATGCAAAATAAATTTTACAAATTTACAAATTATTTATATTGAAATCAAGCAAAATATTGATATATTTAAATATTTTTCAAATAAATAACAATTTGAACACATCATTTTAATCACAAACTATGAAATGAGTTTCACACTTATAAGCATCCAGTTACATGAAAAAGATATTTGTGAATTTTTTTTAAAATTATAATTTCATTATTATTGTTACAAGTACTAAAGATTCAGTAAATCTGAAAATATTTTAGAATAACTTCGGTAGTTTTATAATGTTAAGAATAAATCAATACCTTTTAATAAACTATGATTATAAATTTCAAAAAAAAAATTTTTTTTAAATTTGACACCAAGAAAATGCTTAACACAAAAATTTAGCACTGGGTCTAAAATTACAAGTTTTGTATGCATTAATTTGAAATATTGAACAATGAATTATATCCACTTTTCNTTTCAGAATGATTACCTGTAACTTTCAACAGAAAATCCATTTACTGTAATAAAAGAATCTGTTTTGAGTATGTAACTGGTTGGTCCGGGTAATAAACTATTAGGAAGATATCGACTGAATGAAAATCTTTCTTGTTCAAAAAAACAAAGAGTCCCATCTAAGCAGTAAATGCATATCATGTCTTTTCCTAAATATGAAAAAGGAATTGTATGAATGATAGTAAAATGCTAAAAATTCAGATGAAATAAAATTATTTATAACAAGTACAAAACTGACTTAGTACACTAAGCATTAGAAAAGGTTTTATATAATACCTTTTTTGACACTATAACTAGCTTCATAAAATAATTTACATCAACAATTCGGCACAATAAAATCATCCTATATAAACTTTATATTTTATGATAGTTTCATCATAATGTTTTAGCAACATTTCATCTTATTAAAAGATAATTTATTTTAACATGCAAACATTTATTAAGTATTGTTATTTATTAAGTACTTTAATATTATTTCTACCAAACAGTACCAAAATACACTTTAAATTTTAATTTTAGTTATCTCTCCGCAAAGAGGTTTTTCTTCCCAAAATTTAATTATTTCACTACAACTATTTTTGTTTAAATTTTCGTACTATAGCTGTTATTTCAGTGCTATTATTTTGCTTTAGGTCATTCTGGATCTTGGAATTATCATGTTGTCATGCCTTTTTCTATATTGAGGTGTTTTCTGACACCTTGAAAGATTATATAAAAGAATCTTATTTTTAAATATCAATACAGTTTTGCAGAAATATATCGATTACAATCACGTTAAAGTATTTTTATTTCAGTAGCAAAGAAAAATACAAGAATTGCTGTATTATTTTGATATTCGCATGTTTTTTGTCATGTTGCCTTTTAGTGCAATCATTGCTATACTAGTTCTAAGAAATTAACAATAATGTAGCTGCAAAGAGGTAAATATCAATAAGTATATTGCTCAAGTAATCAATATTTACCTCATGATTTGATATCTTAAGAGTTTTAGCAGTTATTTTCATTTAAACATATAGGTATCAGAAAACACCTTTTGATTAAAACAGGATACACAAAATCACATAATAGTCTTAATTGTTTTTAGTGTTCGATAATTTAGAGCAAGGATGTCACTTTGAAAAATGATGAATAAAGGATGAAAAATGATGAAATAATTTTTATCTCTGGAAACCTAACTAATCCAAAGTTAGTATAAACTTGAATTTTTTTTTTAAATAAAAACACATTTGAGAAAATATTTTAATATTTATATTTTGGCACCAAGACTATTTTTTATTATTGTATGAACTTCCTATGAATGATTATAGCATTTAGATGTCTACTTTTTTAATAAAGGAAATATTTTGAGAATTCTCCTAATGCAAGAGGAAATTAAGCTTAATGTTTTTCTCTTTCATTATAGCCAAACAAATACTTATGGATAAAAAAAAATTCCATTAAATGAAATGTAATCTTTCCAGATGCGCTAATAGTTTGGCATTGCTAGAAGTGATTCCTAACCAAAATGGAATGAATTAAATGCTGTTTACAATAAACTAATGTAGCAATTTTCTATGACTTAGTTCAAGACAAACATTCTGCAAAAGAATATTATCTAATAATCCTAAAAGTTAACACTTCATAAAAATATAAGCTTATTTTTCTCATAAAACAGATTTTGGATTCACACTTTATGTTTACAAAACATTCTAGATTAATAGAGGATTAATCAATACAAAAAAGTGTTTAAAAAAACACAATATGATGCATTATAACAATTTTTATTAGTATAAAATTGTAATTTTTGATACCTTGAATCCCACCAAAACGTCCAATGGTAAGGGAAAATGCATGCCTTTGTAGATTGTGTTCATATATGAGAGATAATTTACTCTGGGTCCCATGCTCCACACTTCCTTGTACAGCTTAATAAAAGAAAGAGGCTGATTATCTTACATAACAAAAAATTTGGATGGTTTATGTTGGTTTCAGTGCGATTAATGAAGGTCCCATATCATTTGATGGTTGCCATCATCCAATGTTTTCCATTATGCGTTCATGGTTTTTTATATGCCAACAAATTTCCATCATTCCATGATGGAAAATGCTACCTTAATACTATGATGGTTAACCATCAAGAGAAGTTTGATTCTCATGGACCAACAATCCATGATGGTTCCAACTATACATTTCCATGATTTTTTTAACGGGTAGTCTTGTTGGTTCACAGGAATATACCACCAAAGCCATATATTTTTTAATGTTAGTCCATCATATATTAGTCCGAATTCCTACATTGGGATGATGGTTGTTCAAGATCGTTCCAAAATTTAATTTCTAAGATACTATGATGGAAATTTGTGATGATGCTTGATGGTACAATAAGGCATTTCCATGATAGTTTAATAATAATTCTTGCTAATTCAGTAAGAAAGTTATGACGCTATTGAATATACCATCAAACAATTTGGCGGTTTTTATGTTGGCCCAAAATAAATCAATCCAAATTCCTACATTGGGATGATAGAGATTCATAATCGTTCCAATATTTGATTTCTAAGAAGCTATAATTAAAATTTTGAATGGTTAAACATAAACAAACCATCTAAACAAATTGTTAATCTTATGTTAGACCATTATAAATCAGTCCAAATTCCTACATTGGGCTGATGGTTACTTCTGTTGGTTACCATCAAAAATATAATGGTTCATGCTGGAATTATTGATGGCTACCATCAAGATTATGTTGGTCCATCAATAGAAAACCATCAAAAATTTTGATTTGGGCAGTTAAATTTAATGTAAAAATAGTTACTTGCTTCATTTTTTAAAATATTTCTTTTTTCTTTAGAAAAAAATATTAATATCTATAACTGTGTGATGCACATAAAATAAATTTTAAAAATTGAAAAATCATTTATATTGAAATCAAGCAAAATATTGATATATTAAATAATTTTTCAAATAAATAACAATTTGTACACAGCATTTTAATTACAAACTTTGAGATGAGTTTCACCCTTATCAACATCCAGCTACATCAAAAAGATATTTGTGAATTTTTTTTAAATTATAATTTAGTTATTACTGTTACAAGTACTAAAGATTCAATAAGTCTGAAAAAATATTTTAGAATAACTTTGGCAGTTTTATAACGTTAAGAATGAATCAATAACTTTTAATAAACTATGATTATATATTCCTATAGTTTTTTTTAAAAAAAATTTGACACCAAGAAAATGATAAAAACAAAAATTTATCACTGGGTATAAAATTTCAAGTTTTATGCATTGAACAATTGAACTATGTATTGAACAGTTTTATGAATTGAAATATTGAACAATGAACTAGATCCAGTTTTCATCTTGACTTTTCCCCAAGTAACAAGGAAATGCTTAGGCATAATATCATTAAAAACTTATAATTGTAAAACAAAATCTGGAAAAACAAAAAATTTTATGTAATAGAATGTGCACAAAGGTGCAAACTTTTAAATGATTTGCAACAACTAGAATCTCCGAAAATTGTCTTTTTATTATGAGTTCTTTTAAATAATGCAATTATTACTGACTGTAAACATAATTCTAAGTTAATTATAATTCACAAAAATAGTACACGAATTTGGTGTTCTTAGTATATAACTTAATATATAATTAGTATATAGCATACAATAAAGTGTTAGAAACTCAATTAATGACTTTTAGAAGAACAAATGATGACACCTACAAAAAAAAACTTTGTAAATATTTGAAAAGATTTACAAAATATTTTTTTAAAAAGAAACAAAGTCATGATAGTGAGAAAAAAGACTTAAAAATTTAAAATCACACAAGAAAATGAGTAACTTTGCATAGTACTACTTTTAAAATAAAATTTGAAACACTAATAAATTAAAATTACCAGAAATTGAAAATACAGATAACTTGTAAGGGTGTAGAACAGCTAACTGAAGAGAAGAGGAAGTCCTAAGAAAGAAGAAAAATACAAACTAATTATTATCTAATTATCATTAAAAATTAACATTTAAAAAGGTTTTTAAATAGAATTCCCATGGTGCTGTGTGATACCAGTGTAAAACACACAATGCTGAATATCATAAACAGTTTTACAATTATTTCTTCTAAATTTAGAAGTAAAAAATAGTAATTACAGTCAATGAACAATTATGTAAAGGCTTTAAATCAAAACTATTTCGTTTAGAGAAATGAAGACAGGCATGAAATGACATAGCTGAAGTGACATAAAGGATTAATCTGCTTTGCATTAGAGATGGCAGCACTTGTGATGGAAACAAGGATAAAAGAATAATAACTGAGCAGCTATCAGTTCTTTAAGCGAACGATGGGCTGCAAAGGACCATTTTTTTATCAATTTTCTGGAACCATAATCAATGATCAACAGTACTTGGAGACATTAACAAAGGTCAAAAGGTCCAAGTAAAATGTCTTGAGAAGTCCTTTTATGGCAAGTCAAGGAAATAAATAAATTTTAAACAAAAGCTAAGAGTTATCCTGAGTTGAACTACTGATACTAGATCTGTCGATTATAACTTCACAATTTTACATGAGCTCAAAGAAGCACTACAAGGACATCAGTTGATACAGTCAAGGAATGTATGTGCAACCGGTTCAATGTCACAGCAGCCAATGTTATTTTTTTCGAACATGGTATTGGGGGGCTTGTGTCACAACAAAAGGACAAATGCTTATACAACTGCAAACAACACTTTTGAGTTTCGTCAAATAAAAAGTATGAAATGCCACTGATTCATTATTTAGTAACAGTTCTTAATAATGGGGAAAAAACTAAATAAAGATATTCTGGAGAGAGTTTTTTACTGATATTTTTATGAGTGCAGAAGAAATTTTTCAATTAGCTGGCTAATAAGAGAAAATTGTAATTTAATTTTGCTAAGCCTACACAGAATCAATTTTATTCAGCCAGCACACATAAAAAAATATAAAATAATAAAATAAATTTTTTAGTCATGTTCATTTATAGTGGATATGAATAAAAAAGAATTATTCAAAATAAACGATTAATTAAAAAAATTGTGGCACAACATAACATTTAATAAATGTAGTAAAAGTAATTAACACATTTCCTTTTCAACACATTTTGTTTTCATTAAAAATTATTTATAACTCATTTCATGAGTTTAAAAATATTATATTAAATCTAATATTTTCAAGAATTTAAATATCCTCCCAAAATTACTTTATGTAAGTAATCTTAAGATCAAATTAATTACATAAATCTTTATAATTATTTTGTATAATATGGTTTTTAGTAACTATATTATGTTCATTTAAAGCTATATTATGTTATGTTATGTATGTAGTAGCTATATTATGTTCATAGTAGCTATATTATGTTATGTTCATATTATGTTCAAGCTATAATACTTTATCCAAGCTATTATTTCTCTCACCTTTAACATGATTTATGAGCAGACTATTTGCTTCAAGCATTAAGTGGTTAACAAATTTAGTGAACAAAATAAAAAAGTTTTAAAAGTGAAATATGCAAAAAATTTCATTCATCAAAAATAATTCATTGTGTTTTGAGAATAATTCATTTTCAAGTGATTGCTTGGAAATGAGACAACAAAGTGCACACAATATTTAATAGCATTAAAAAAATATAAACTACATCAGCAAATTTTTTGCAATACAATGACATATTTGTTAATCACCACAAAATTATTTAATAAAATATCCATGGGAATTTTGGTTAGTTAAAATACAAGTGAAAAACTTATCAGCATTTCAAGGTATTACTGAGAAAAATAAACAATAACTCACGATGATAAGATTCCAGCAGCAACTTGTATAATAGGAGCTTTAAGCTGTGCTTCCAGAAGTAAATCATCTGCTCGGAATGAAGAGTAACTTCCATCTTCCTGCTTTATAGGTTGAGGTATATATATTCTTAGGATACCACTGAGACTTCCGGTAATAATTTTGTCTGAAATCAATGCAAAAATCATAGTTTTTCATTTAATAACTAATCATGAAACTAGTCTAAAATAGAATATATTAAAAGTGCTTCTGGTTAATTAACACATTTTAACAATAAATTCACCTATAGTCCTACTTTTTAACACTTTAATAGCCATATAGGGAGTTTGATCAAACTCTGCTTATATTAACTACAGATTCTTTACTAAACATTTTCTCAATGAGTTTTTCAATGATGATGAAGTTACTATACATTTTTAAAGTAATTATATTAACGAGCTGTTTTTGGCAACCAACTAATGATCATATGACCAGCCATCATCAATTTAATCTTAGGACAAATTAATAGTATGTCAATTTCATTTTCCAAGGCAATCTGAACAAGAAAGAAATTGTGATGCATTTGCATGCCTCAGTGAAGAAAAGCTGGTGAATTACCCGTTTCTGTGCAGGAAAAAGGTAAGTAAGCCAGGTATGTAATAATTACAAATAATAAATTTTTATAAAAACCGAAACACATTAAAGTGCCACTTAGGTATACAGCTTTATCACTAGGATGAATTCTAGGAAAGGCAAATCATAAATGATATAATTCATCATAGGTTATATCACACTAGCTGATAAATATATGTTTCGAGAGCAATGATATCAAATTGTCAAACCGCAAGGAATAGCTTAAATTATTGCTTCTGTTTCTATTTATGAGCACTGTTCTTTTTCTTTCTTAGAACTAATGTTTAAAAGCTTTTTTTTAATGTTGAGTTAAAATAATGAAAGACAACATCCAATAATAAAAAATTAAAAAAAACACAGTGATAGTTCATCTAATTTTACTTTAATGACTACTTTAAAAATAAGGCCCTACATTTCGTAATATCATATTAATTTTTTTGCTTCATACATTTTAAAGCATTTTTTTTCTTTCTTTTTTTTGAAAATCTAATAGGAATTAACATGGACTATTAACAGTGGGTAAGAACGAGGATATTCTTTTAATTATTGATCTCTTACAGGACCGAATTAACAGCTAAAATTAGTTTAATGTATTGAATATATTTAACAAAAATCATTAACTATGTAGTTAAAATTTAAAAACAAAATAACTAAAAATCATTTTAAATGGAACGTTTATTTTAAAATAATTATAAAAACAGGCAAAAATAAAACACAATAGAAAATATTTAACATAAAATGCAACCATTAAAACTCTGAATTAGAAAAAATTTTCAATTTAAACTTTCTTTATATTAATAATTGAATATAATTTATTTAAAATCTTTCAACCACCTGATTTTTCTGTGCTGTTGTCAATATTAGCAATGGCCAAAGAGCCTCTATCAAACTCTTCATCAGCTCCACATATTGTGGACCACCAATCACATGCTTTGAAAAGTGACATCAATGTAAAACTTTAGATCCTACAAAATAAAAATTATCATAAAATAAAAATTACACAAAATTAAGTGATTAAGAAATTACATGTTTAAACAATTATAATGTACATAAAAACTCATTTTGCTTTAAGATATATTTCTTTCCTTTTAACATTAACAAAATAACTAAATTAAATATTAATTTATTAAATGCTAAATTAAATTAATTTTTTTTTCCAACTGCGTTTGGAAAAATGTTTCGGTGGTTCCCATGATGTTGATATAGCTAAATATCCAGTAAAGTTGCAGAGTCAAAGTGCTATATTTTTGCCAAAATCACTGAGTTTGGTTCCAGGTTGGTTCTAAAATGTAGAAGAACCCTCAATTCAAAAAAAGTTATTTTTACATGCATAATGCGAATGTTTATGCTTTTCAAGTTCGTGATAAATTAGAGTAGATTTTTTTTTTAAAATTTGCATAAATTCAAATGAATTAATTTGTAATTCATATTTTTGGTTGTAATAAAAACAAATTTATCAGTAGAATGTTATTATATAAAGAACCATCATAAGAACAGCAGAGAATTCTTAGAACATTTAAGGATCCAGCGTCAGTGGTATTAGAACAAAAATACTTCAATATTTATAAAAATAAATTCAAACACATTGTTTATTAATTTATCTAACGGGTAAAATAGAAAAGAAAGAATTATTAATTTATCTAACGGGTGAAATAGAAAAGAAAGAATTATTAATTTATCTAATGGGTGAAATAGAAAAGAAAGAATTATTAATTTATCTAACGGGTGAAGTAGAAAAGAAAGAATTATTAATTTATCTAACGGGTGAAAAAGAAATGAAAGAATAGAAAGTTATGTTATGTACATAGCCATTGTCAGAACAAGCAGATAATACTTAGAACACTAGGGCAACCAACATCAAAGATAACTTGAATAAAAATGTTCTAATGATTATAAAAATTTCCTTATGTTTTTGTTATTACATTCTCAAAAACCCTGTTTATTATTTCATCATATAGATGAAATCGAAAAGAAGATGTTTTTATTAATACACATTTTTAGCAGTTCCATACAAAAAAGAACTTAATCAAAATTATATGGATTAAAAAACAAGATTTATTAAAGCATTTTAAGATGATTAGTTAAGCTATATTATTAAAAACATACAATTCTACTCTTCTAACAACTAATGAAGTTATATATAATCTTTTTCTAATAATCATGCAACGAATCTTGATTAAAATCTGTTATAAATTATTAATATTGCTCGCTAATGTGATAAATACAATAATAATATTTATTAAGTGGTCAAAAATATTAACAAAAGTAAATAAAGATCTAAAAACCCCATTTCTTCGATTGATTTAAAAATATTTTAAGATTTAATGCTAAAAATAAAAGAGTTAAAAACAGATTAACTTACTTCGAAAACAAGACAAGTAAAAGTGAGAAATGAAAAATCATTCTAGAATTTATCTCATATCAGGTTTTTTTACATTACATTATTTGATTATTATTATAATGGGAAATTTATTTGCACGAAAATATGTCTATGAATAATTGAATTAACTTCCTATCTTTCATTTGATTAAATATTACAAAAGTCACGTCCAAACACTAAATAAAATATCCGAAGCAAGAAAATATAAATATCTTGTTTCCATGACAACGGTAATTTGTGTGGCCATTACTATAAAATTAAAATTGACAAAAATCTCAATAAACCCAAGAGGCTGTTGCTTGGCTGACCGCTTTTTTAATAAATAGAGGCATTTGATAGGTCGATTACATCATCGTTTTCATCGTTATCGCTTAATCGTTTTGTCAGGTTTACTAGAATGGCGCTTTTAGCATTTTTGCTTGGCAGAATTTTAATAACGCGCATNCTTATGTAATAGATTCAATGAACCCAAGAATGTTTCTTAAAATTTAAAAATACACCAATTGTATTCTTTCTTTTTTATCTTTTTCTCTTCATTTAAATTATGCGTTAATCTGACCAGTTGGGCCCATGTCGAGAGGTTCTAAGTTCGATCCCCTCTTGCCAATGACTCCCCGTATACGAAAGATCGGCTAATGCACGCTAGCACGATCTGCTGAAGGATGAGTGGCGTGTTATAGGGTGTCCTCACCTGTCAAATGGGATGTGACGTATGTATGTTGCCTCCGATTGTTTCCAGCCAGTAACACGGCTCTAGTGCGACATAAAATTTTTTGCAACAACTGGATATAACCTTTGAATCAACTTGAAATTAAAAAACAACCAGTTTTATAAATCTTTTAATGAACAGAAACAGGTAAGCAGAAGCGTCCGACATGATGCCCGCTTACTTTTCCCCACATGTTTTTAAATATTATTAGTTGTTTACAGTTGTTTCTTTATTTGTGGTTGTTATTAATTTAATGTTATTAACCGAAACTTATTAAGTTATTAGAAATGGGTAAAAAGAAGTCAATGAAAATTACAGCCAAACAAAGGTGGTATTGTACACTGATTGTTTTGTTTAGTGTATATCTTTACCTTCGTGAAATTATTTTTAATAATATTTTCATTGATAATACCAATTTTTACCTATTCAGTATTTTATTTTTATAATTTTTCATTTTAATTGCAGCTTTGACGTACACTCAAAATACGAAGCTTTTTTTACTGGTGGTAAAGTCCAAGTAAGTAGGGTAGCTTTTATTTATACTGTACTTGAATTTTGCAAATGAATTTTTTTGTTAGACATATTTCTCGGATCGCTACCTGTGCTCATGGAATTCATTCAGGATGTCTTTAAACTCAGGCGGAGACAAACAAAAATTTCACTGGATTAAGTTATTAGAAATGGGTAAAAAGAAGTCAATATGTCTGTGTATATTAATTCTTTAATTTGGATATTTATTCTTTTTTATATTGTCAAATATGGGGATATTTATTCTTTTTAATCAATTTCAATCACTTTAAGGTAGATACCAAAAACAAATATTTTTTTTATTTTATGAAAATATTTTTTTATATGAATTAGTAAATGTCAATTTTAATATATTAATAAAGGAAAAAAACACAAAAATGACTGAAAATGAATTTTTTTTAAAAAATCTAGCCTTAAATATACGTTATCCGTAATTTGACAAGAAATATGTTTATCTTGATATCATTAACTTTTTTTCCCTTTTAAAAATTCTATAAATAATATTATCCTGTGTTTTTCAGTTTTCTTGTAATGGAAAGTATATTCTGAGTATATGCCAGGATAATTTAAAATTATTTGATATAGAGAGTGGCACAACAAGTAATGCCATTGAAAATGTAAGTATGAACTTTTATTTGTTCATCCAAATAATCTTCTTAATTTGTTCATCCAAATAATGTTGTTCATTTTATATGTAATCTAATGAAAAATTGTTCTTTATATCTTTTTATTTTGATCCGAGCTGGTTAATTTTTTTCCAACAGGGTCTTCGAATGTTTGTTTCTGCCAACAATAAATTTTTTATCAAGTCCCTGTTTTTTGTTTTTTTCTATTTTCTTGTGCCACTTGGTTTTATTAAAGTTACAGCTTATCGGTGTTATTTTCCACTGATTTAAATAAGTTTCTAGTAAATTGCTTTTCATTATAATTTGTATGATTGTAAAAATTTGTCAAATATTTTCTTGGATAGCATAGTAAATTTTGTGTAGTATTTTTCTTTCAAAAATAGTAGTCTGTTTTGAATCTGCATACATGCAACACTGTAACGGTATTTTAGTAATGCTACTGGTTGAATTAGTATTCTATATATTTTAATTCTATAGCTAATTAATCAACATTTTAAGTTGATAATGAATGAAGTATCTAATAAGAAGCATCAGTATTCAATTTTAACATTCGTTTCAGTTTTGCTAATCTCAAAAAGATAAGCAAAGTTTAAACTTTCGATTAACTGCTATTTATGATTGCTTTTGCTTTCTTGTTTTTATGCTGTAATTGTTTACATAATCTAATATTGCTTTCCTATTTATTTATTTTTTATCCTGCCTAGTTGATTTCAAAAGTTAAATAGGTAGGATAAATATATTGTAAACATATTTTCTTAATATGACAAAAAAATTACATACTTAATTTCTTAGTGTAAGTCTGCAATTAAAATCCCATTGTTTTTTTTTCTATGATGTGTGATATGTACTTAAAATTACTAAATATTTATGAAAACAAACACAACTGCTCCAAGACTACTTTGAGAGGGGGTGACAAGCTGATTTGTCTTTTTTTATGAAAGTCTGAGGCTTGCATGGACTTTGAAAAACAGTAAATAGTCCATATTCTTTAACTCCACCTTTTTTATATCTTCTACCTATTTGAAGGAAATCAAATCAGACCTGTTGCATGCGCAACTTCATAAACATTTTCAATTGGAAAATATAATGTATTTTTTAATTTTATTTTAAATTGTTTTTTTTTTTTCTTTCAGTGTGGTTTAGATGTTTAAGATATGTTTAATAAATGATATAAACAATATTTCTGTTCTTAGTTGAATACTTATTGCAAATGATTTAACAATAATTTGGTTTTTCTATATACATTTTAATAGTTAGAAGGAGAGGAAATAGCTTCTTTTTTACTGGCTGCTGATGATGAAACATTAGTAACTGCTTCCAGAAATGGTATTATGAGGATATGGCATTTATCCACCAAAGAAATCGTAAAATCTTGGAAGGTGAGCTTCATTTTTTTTTTTTTTTTATCATATTGAAAAGTCACTTATATCTTTCAAAGATTGTTTTTCACCTAATATACAGCTTTAATTTTACCTAAGTACATAGTGCATTCCTTTAGGAATAATTATTTTAATAATATTGAATGTGTATGATGTTCTTAATTTTTGATAATATTCTTAATTTTACTCGCTTAAGTAATAGATAGCTAAACATAATTTATTGTGAAACTGTACATTTTAATTAGTTCATATCATTAGTTCATATCATCATTAGTGAGTGATTATTTTTTCACATTTTTAATTCTTTTCAAATTTTTGAGTAATTAAATAACTGTACTTCAATTGTATGATATTTATTTTTTCTTATAGTCTGTACATATAGGTCCCATAAGCTGTATGGCCTTTGACTCAACCAATACATTATTAGCTACAGGTGGCTCTGACTCAACGATAAAAGTTTGGGATACTTTTAGAAAGTATTACACTCATAACCTTAAAGGCGGTAAAGGTGTCTATAGGTAATTCACTATTTTCCTATTAAAATTAGTTATTAGATTGTATATTGTTTATATATATATATAGATAGATAAATTTACAGGATGCATAGTGTTTTTAAAAGGTGCCATTTTTCATTGGACGTTTTTGAAAAGTGCTTAATTTTCTCTTGTACAAAATGTGATATTAATTCTTGACCTTGTTGAATTTCGCCACAAATTATGCCACTGAATTTAAAGATATTCTTCAAAATGTTCTATTCAACATTTTCGCAATTCATTTAATACCAATCTATTTCGGTGAACCTTTAATCCTTAGCGTGTTAAAACGCTAATCATTTTACATGCTTGATATAAAAAAAAAATTCAGATCCACATGTGCATATACTGAGCTGGATTTAGTGAAAAGGATTCTCGCCCTCTTGTGTGGATTTCTGCTGTATTTTGCATGAGATTTTCAATTTTCACTCCTTGAAATTAACTATTAATTGGTTAGAAACCCTTTGTCATCTAGCCAACTGTGGGGTTTTCGTGATTTTCTTTTCCGTGTAATGCAAATACAAGTTAGTTCCATCAAAAGGTTCTCTACGAAGACTAGTTTGTCCCAATGCTTGATCCAGGAGTTCCCTTGACTTCTGAGTTTGGTTCAAAATTACAAGGCTACAAAGTGAAACATTAATAGTTGTAAGCTCAGGACTTAGGCCAGCTAGCTGCTCATCACGGGATATATATTTTTTTAAATGCCCACTAAAATTTATTGTGGATACTAAAATTTCAAAATTTTGCACTTTGAAACAATGCGATATTTTTTTTTCTTATAGGAAAGAGATGTAATTAGTTTTGGGTAGCGTTTTTGTTTTTTATGAAAAAGTTGGCCTTTTTAGACTAAATAAAGTAACTATTTTCATTGATGTTATAAAAGTTTACTTTTGATTTAGGCTTCAAAACTATATTTCAAAAAAAAGTCACAAATTGATCAGCACTTAATGTGCATATAATGTTGAACCTTAGAAATTATATACAGCTTTCCTAGACATGACATTCAGATTTATGCTAAGAGCACCAAAATAGATTATCATTCAAGTAATGACATTTATTTCGAAACTTCTTGTAAGAAAAATGACATTCTCTATCTCTCTTTAAATCTTCGAAAGAGTATTAATGGTAATTTGTGAGAAACTCAAAGGCATACTAACTGAAAGGAGTTGTTAATCTATGTATCCTGTCAGATTGTTGATGCTCCCTTCAACATATTAAATTATTCCTCCTTGTTAACAAAACTAGCTCTTCAATCTTACCCAAGATAAAATTCAATGTGGACAATTACAAATATGAATTGGACTTACTTGTTATTGAGGGTTGTAGTCTCTTGTCCTCCCTGTTTTCCTTTATCCCTCTAGGTGGTAACCCCTCCCCCCCCCTGATGGTAATTATGGCTAATTGACTTAAGTCACCCACCCATCGCCAGTGGTATATGCCTAATGGACTAGGATGTTTCTCATGTGTGATAGAGGCTCATCAACTACGCCTTATAGACTTGTCTATGGCAGGGTTGGGTTTTTGACGTCAAAAAGTGGTTTTTGACATGACAAGGGTATAATGCTGGTTTAAACCGTCAAAAACTGAAGTTTGCCAAGAAAATATATAAACTTCAAAACTACCAACAGTTGCCATGCATTATATTGAAATTTAATTATACTATAGGTAATCAGCAGGTTTTAAAATATTTTTTAATTAAAATTAAGGTAAAATAACAGATTTAAAATCTCAGAAATTTATATTCAAATGCATGTGCAGAAAAATTTTGCACAAAAATTGTTTAAATATTTATATTTAAAAATTTTTTTTTTTTTTTTGATACTTAAGAAAATTAAAAGTTTATTACTATGCATTTTTGACATATAAGGAACATATAACTAATATTTATAAGGAACTTACAAGTTATGTTGTATAAATACAAACTTGATACAAGTGTATAAAAATTTTTTTTTAATGTTATACCGAATATCTTTATTATCCAGTATGTTAATTTGAATTTAAAAGTAGTTATATTTGTGAATAATGATAAATATAATTCATATTGTTTATTATATTTATTTATAATTATTACACTTATCATTTTAAAACAATTTTTATCTCTTAATTTTTTTTTCTCCACTTGTATTAAGAATACAAATAATGCATATCTTGAAAGCAAGAAGTAATTATTCAACAGCTGAATATTTAGATATTCAACAAAACTATATAGTATTCAGCAAAATGAAATTCACAAGTATTTGGATAAACTAAATTTTCAGCATAGTAAATGAATAGGCTGAATATACTGTAAATCGACACTAACTACTCTGTGTATTTAACAGAAAGCACTTAAATTTGTATTGTCTTATGTTAAAAAGATTATTAAGAAGATTTAAAAGAATATTAAAAAGATTTTTCTTTAAAAGATGTCTAATGTACAAAACTGCTAATGTTTATCTTTAAAAATGTCTAATTTTTAGTATAATCTATACTATACACTAAATTTGGTTATAAATAAATTTCTTAATAATATCACTGCAGATTTTCAATAACACATGAAAATGAATACATAATATTACAAAAGATGTGAGCTTTCAAAAGTACAAGATTTTGGTTACTATTCAAAATATAAGTGTTTCTTCAAAATTTTAAATTTATTTTTTCTGGAACATATTTAGAAACACTATCCTTTATAAAAAAAAATATATAAATTTCACATATGAATATAGGTTTTTGACAGTGAGGTTTTTGATGTGACGGTTTAAACCGTCAAAAACTGTCACATGTCAAAAACCTGCCAACCCTGCTATGGATACATTTATTGTATCTCGTTCCATGGAAGTAGAAAGATTGCACTAAGTAACCAGGGGTCTGTCCAGGCCGAATTTACTACCGTTTTGCGGTACCTTCACAAATTCAATTTTAGGTGAAATGGTAGCTTCACAAATTCAACTTTAGGAAAAACGGTAGTTTCACAAAATACTTTTTCTTAAAATTTTATTTTTGCATCACTTAAGAAACGATAAATCTATATTTTTACCATGTTTTTGTATTGATTTTGTAATATAATTTTTAATTTTTCACAAATTATGTCTAAATTTTCACAAAATAGGTACCTTTCAGAAAAACCTAGACAGACCCCTGGTAACACAATCATTTAGCTTTTGTCTGACACATTTTAGATTGCTTTAACTTCTTTTAAGAGGATGCCTTTTCTTATCCTCTTGTAATTCTTATGTACTTTGTTTGACTTAAACTCTACATAATATTTATATGCGTGATTACTTTCTTTATTAAGGAGGTTGGAATAAAATAATAAATAAATATATCAATGTATTTCTTTTATTCCCATTACTCAGTTACCTTTTTCAATTACAGTAAAGTATGTTTTCATAATATTGACTCCAAGATTCATGTTTTTGGTACTGCTGATGATTATGAAATCCATGTTTGGAATCTTCATACGAGTGAACTTGTTACTTCCCTGTCTGGCCACTTCAGCTCTGTGACCGAACTCGTTTTTACAAAAGATAGACGGCTGTTAAGGTAAATAGTCACTTTGTTTTGTAGATAAGTTGCTTTGTTGAAATTTTAAATAATATATGCTATCTGTAAAAATTAAGACTTTTATTTAACTGCATAATTTTTCTTCTGGCTATTGGTTCTACTGAAGATTTTAGATAATTAACTGAGTTATATATCTAATTTAGTCTTTCCCAGAGTGAATTGATTGTGAAAAAAAAAATTTACGAGTTTAGTTTTGAAAAATTTGGTTTCAAAATTTGGTTTTGGTTTTTTTGGTTTTTGAAAAATTTGGTTTTGTTTTTTGAAAAATTTGGAAAAAGTTTCCACAATTGCCAAGATAAATAAATTATTAAGATAAGAACTATAATTTTGTAATTCCAGTCACGGTGAATTTAATTTAATCCAATACTTTGGTAGCAACAGTAACAAATTCCAAATTTTAACGGTTGCTGATATGAGAATAATTCAAAGATAATTTTGTTTTTAATTTGTTCTCAAATGTTTAAAAATGCTAGTTGGTTGCTTAGATTTCTTTAAAAAAAATCACTTTCACACACACACAATATATATATATATATATATATATATATTGAATGTATGTATGTAAAATGGCAAGAAAGTAATGTTGAAAAATTATGTATTATATCTCATCCATTTCATAAATAGAGCTTAAATCTAAAACACTGAGTTAAAACCTTTCCCAAAATGCAAAAATAAAATATTGATGTAATTATCATAGAAAATGTGATGATAGGACTTTAGAAACTTGGGAAATTGAAAAGTCACACAGTAAGATCTATTAATATTTATATTTGTTGTCCAGACAGTATAAAACCCCATTTTTCATAGTCAATTTGTTCTTCTCTATCTACCAGAATGTTTATGTTCTCATTTAGTTTTTTGTAATGTTTTATAGCCTCTAAATAAGATCCTTTATTAATATGAATGTTTCTGTATATATTTTCTACAACCACCAGCCACACTACCACTTAACGATGTTAACGTCTTCAAACCTAATTAGCTCTATTTGTGGATTAAATTTAATATATGATTTTTTTAAAGTAATATATATAAGCCAAAATAGAATTAAGTTTAAAAGCTGCTTTAAGTTGATGCATTAAATCATTATGACTGTTCATTGCTTAGAAAGGTTGTTACTTATGGAATATCAATTGTCTTTAAATATCATGGTGCAAATTACATTTCATTTTTCCATTTTTCTTCTAAATATGCTATTAAAAATGTTTAAAAACTTTATAGCTCAAGTAGAGACAAGGTTGTGCTGTTGTGGGATCTTTCTACGTTTAAGCTTTTGAAGACTATTCCAGTATTTGAGGTAAGAAATTTGAAAAGGTTTGCTTAAAGTGAAGGGCTTATGTATAATGTGAAAAATGGACCACTCTGAATAACTTTTGATCAAATGATTGAATCTTCCCGTTCTAGGACTCAATGGTTCAAGAGTGTGACCTCAAATATACTAATTAATTAGTGCAGGTGATAATTTAAGTTACAAAATCAGACACGTAAACAAAATTTCTCTTAATAAACATACCTTTCTTCGATGGATTCAAATTTCAGAGGGGGAAGCCACTATATGGGAATTACGGTATCAATAGTTATTTCAGAAGAATGGTCCACAGCTTGGACCCCTTAATGTTAATTTTACTTTATGTGTATTTTGCCTTACTTCGCAAATTTTTCAAGTGAATTTAAACATTTTTGCGTATAATTATAAGATTCGTTCATCCAAAAATCATTTCATGTCAAAAAAAACTTCAGGAAATATTTTTTTTATTTGATAATAGTTTAGGATATTTTAAATTGTAAAGTATACAAATTTTTACTTAATTTTAAAGAATGAAATTTTTAAATGGTGAGGTGCAAAATTTGAGCTAAATCAGTTAAACCGTTCCTGAAAAAATCAAACTTTGAAAAAGTCAGATTTATTATTAAATAAAATAAATATGGCGTAATACGCATAAAGTGAAATAAACATTAAGGGGTCCAAACTTTGAAGTTCCCTTCTGACCTAACCATCGGGACCATAATTCTCAGATTGTGGCACCATCTGTATTGTGGGGGTCATATATTTGAATCTGTTTTTTAAAAAAACGGTACTTTTATTCAGAGAAAGTATGTTTCTGTGTCTGATTTTGTAACTTAAAATATCGCTCTAACTAAGGAGCTTATTCCAGGTCACCCCCTTGAACCTTTGAAATTTAAACATGAAGTTCCAATCATTAGATCAAAAGTTATTTCGGGTGGCCTGTTTTTTTTTTTTTATTTATTTATTTTATTTTTTTATTTTGCATATTGTACATATGTAGATTTTAATATTTTATTGCAGACTGTTGAATCTTGTATATTACTTCCTGAAAAAATTGTTTTGCCGAATACATCTTTATCAAGTTCTGACACTTATTTTGTTACTGCTGGTGATAAAGGTATTTTAATAAATTTTTTGATTTCTTTTTAATGCTGTACCCTGTAGAACTTTCATTACTTTATTTCTGTATTGTAAGGGAAATTTGAAAATTGAAGTTTTCAGTGAAATTTCATTTTGTATTTTATTTGAGATGAAACTGTAACTAATATTGTAGGATATAGAAGAATTTTAAAATTCTAAGAGTTAAATACTTTGGAAACTGGTAATGAAATAAAAGTTTATTGCAACTATATTGAAATGGATATGTTTCATATTACATTCAATGAATATTGCAAAGCTTTCTGTCAGAAGAATGAATAAAATGCATATTAAATATTTATTAAGCTAAATACAAATACGCAAATGTTTACTTGACTAATTAAGCTTTTTAAAAAAAAAAATTTTTTTTGGAAGAGAAAAATTTTGAAAGCATTTAACGCTGTATATAAATAAATATCGCATACAATTTATAAGTATTTATAAAAGGAATATATAAAAGGAATGTGACATTTATTTATGTGTGCAATTTAAAACTTCTGTATTGTTCAAAAACCAGGAATATTGAGGGTTTGGAGTACGTTATCTGGAACATGTATATTTGAACAGAGTGATTCCTTAATTATGTTGCCTGAAGATTCATCTTATGAAGGTCCATTAATAACGCAAGCTGTTTACATCCCTGCTTTAGAAGTTCTAGCTGTGATATCTTTTGAACAAAATATACTGTTCTACACGTTGGATAATTTCTCCATTAAAAATCAAGTAAATACAATTTTTTAAAACTTATTTTGATATCTTTTTCTTGTAAACTTCACTTAACTAAGTCCACGAAACTGAGATATTACTTAATTGAAAATGTTACACGCTTCAAAAATATATAAATTAGAAACAACAGCGGACATGTTTCCAGTTTGCATATTTTTTAAGTGAATAAAGTTTTTAATCAAGTAATAAATCTCATTTGTTATTTAATCCTGGATTTTACTGTCTAAACCATTTTTGTCTTTGTTCTCAAATATTTTAAAAGGATGAATGTTTTATCAAAAAGATTTTTATTGACCCTAATCACTCGTTCAAATATTGGCCATAATAATGTTCTATGCAGCATAAGTATTAGTCTTTTGTGATAAAAAGCAGAAATGAGTACATTTTAGGAAATTATTCTGAAAAATTATGTGTTTGTAACATTTCAAAGTCACTTGCTTCAATAATGTAAGTCATGAGCTGTTCATCCCTAATTTAGTTCAGGAGAAAATTTATATAGCATTGAAGTACAGGTATATTGCTTCATACCTGCCAAGTCTCCTTTTTTTTTTCCCCTAAGACTTCTGTATTTTTCGACTATCTCCTGTTTACCCGTATTTTCTCAAATTTCTCCATATTTTTAAAGAAAATTTGTTGATATTCCTCAATAGATGGTGCTATTGCCAGTGATGGTGAGTGTTTATAGTTTAAGCAATTATAATTAATGGTTTAGAAATATCTTTTTTTGAGAAAGCTTTATATACATATTTTTTACTTCGCTAAATGTAAGTGCTTATATTCCTTCCAATTTTGACTTAATCATTTAAGTCAAAATTGGAATGTAGGATGTATCAAAACTTTACTCGTAGCCCAAAAAAATTTATCTAGTAAAATCTCCATCATTTTGTTTATCCAATGTTGACGGATATGTGTTATTGATGTTTTCTTTCTGTTTTTTTTTTCTCGTAATGTGTAAACATTTTTTAAAACTATATCAGAAGTATGTTGCAATAGATCTCAAGTAGCAATAGATCAAGAATAGAAGTATGTTGCAATAGATTATTTTTAAAAAATCAAGATTTTTTATTAGCATATAACTTATTTCATTTTCTTCTAGTTTATAGGTTACAATGATGACATTCTAAGCATCAAGTTTGTTGGTAAGAAAGACGAGCACATTGCTGTTGCCACTAATAGCTCTCACATCAAAGTATTTCAACTGCCATCTTTCAATTGTCAGCTTTTAAAAGGACATCATGACATTGTCATGAGTTTAGATTCTTTCCCTAAGCACAAAGACATTCTTATTAGTGGTTCAAAGGTAAATTTTTTTATTTATTAAGTTTTGTTTACACTTGGTAGGAATTGAGCCATTTTTGTTTTGGGTTTTAATTTCTTATTATGTATATAGGATAATAATGTTAAAGTTTGGTTTGTTGGCTCTGACTCTCCGATCAATGCTGAATATACTGGATTTGGTCATACAGATTCAGTTACTGCCATTTGCTGCTGCAAGTGAGTAATTTTTTTTTACTTTTTGACTGTAAAAGCTAGTAAGGGGTATATATCCCTCATTTGGGTCAAGTTTGTCTTTTTTTTTTTTTTTTTTTTTTTTTTTTTTTTTTTTTTTTTTTCCTTTTAATTCTATGTCAGAGATGCACAACCATTTTTGAATACCAGTCATAAGGAAGAAGGTTGGGAGCCATAATTATATGGCCCAAATTGCAAAAATGTGAATTGTTTTTATATTTTATTTGAAAATTATCTGAATGGTTTGCACACATGTTACAATTTTTCCACTTTTTTTTACTGATGTACCCTTAGTAAAAAATTTTAAAAAAATCAATAAATGTTCTAATTTAGCTGAAGATAACGATTTAAAAATCATTTTTTAATATTTAAAATTAGCAGAAGAGCAGTAAATCAAATAAATAATGTATAGAACGCAAAGTAAAAAATGAAGGAAAAAAATTACAACTTTTGATCGGATTAGCGCATAGTAAACTCAATCCTAATGATTCTTGGGTCTAGCCTCAAATATATTAATTAGTGCAGGCAATATTTTAAGTTACGAAATTGAAAATTAAAATGTACTTTCTCTGAATAAACATGCGAACTTTTCCAACAGATTCGGATTTCTGAAACTCAAAAAATCCCCAGGATAACTGGAAAATGTCCCGATGATTTGGTCAAGAGAGTAGCCGAAAGCTTAAGCCCTTCAATATTAATTTAACTTTTCACTATATTTCACAGTATCTCAAGAACTTTTTGAGCAAATCGGAAACTTTTTCACGCTATTATGAAATTCTTTTATCAAAAACAAATAATAAAAAAAGGTGCTTCATATGAAATACAATGTTTCAAAATAAAAACCTGTGTTTTATCCAAGTTAATGATTCAGTTTTCTGTTGATTGATTTTTTGTCATTTCATTTAGTGGACAATAATTGCACCATAAAGTTTGTTTTCTTTTGAAGTAAGTTAACCAAATACTGCCACTTTTCTGTCATTTCAAAAATTTTAAAGGAAAACATAGAAGTGCAGATGTGCAAATAAAACACACTCAAAGTGTGTTGCAATATTTTTGCCAGTTGTTTTTAATCAGTTCTTTTATTTTTATATGAATTGTATTCCGTTAAATATGGTGATAATATGATTATATTTTGATTATTGGGAATATACATGTAAAATATAATTATAAGCATGTAAAATATAATTTTAACAATAAATACATAATGGTAATGGCATATTATTTTTCTTTCTTGTATTTTTGTAATTAGTATGCGGAAGGATTTTGGTTATAAGTTCATTTTAAAATATGTATTTAATATAATTGAAGATTTAAAATATATGGAATTATATTGAATATGTTTAATGCACACTTTGATGCCTTATAAGGCATGTCAATTTCATGTCATGTCTGATGGTTTCATGTGCTAAAATAAAACTAATGGCACTACAAGGCCAGCAGATCTGAAGTCTTTTTCTGACTGGTAGTATAAGTGCTTGACATGTCTTTGGGTGAAAATTTTTATTATTTTTTGTACATCTTTAAAATCTGAAAACCATTTTTTTTTCCAGCTCTTGACAAGCAAAAGATATGAGCTTTATCAATTTTGAACTAGGTGCATGATGCGAAAATGTTCATGTATTACAATTTGTATTTTTAAAAAATTGATTTTTGTAACTCCAATAATAACTGCCTCCAATAATCTCTATCTTTCTTTTTAAAAAAAACAATTAAGCAAATGGGTTTCTTATAATACGATTGAACCTCTAAAAACATAAGAATTTTTAAATGTATTTCTGTTGTCTGTATTTCTGTTGCAAAAGGCAAAAAACCTGGTGGGTGTGTAACTGTTTGGTGCAAATTTGAGAAAGAAAAGTTGTGCTATTTTTATTTGAATCATTTTTCTTTTGATTTCTTATTGGGGTAGCAAAATCATGTTTTCTTGTATTAGGATTTTAATTTTCTTATCTAAGTTTTTTTAAAGGCAATGTCAATGAGTCCTGCTACAACCAACAAGCCTGGCTACACACACCTTGGTAAAGGAGATAAACTATTTTACTCTAAATTCAGCTACAATTATTTTGAAGATGAAAAATTTTGTCAAAAGAATGTAAATTTAAAAATAAATATAATTCCAATGTTCATATTTTTAGAATTAAGTTCGAATTTTAATATTAAATTTTAAAAGAAATATTCTGCTCTTGTTCTATAGTAGTTAAGCATGTGTATTTAAGTATTGCCATTCATTCAATTCCAAGAAGAGTTCTATTTTTCATTTCTTTGTCACGTTGTATATTAATTGTTCCCTATTTTATTTTCTGTATGTCTATTAAGCAATTATTAAAATCTAAGAATTCTAAAATGCATCTTTCTTCCTATCGCCTTAAAACTGATATATTTTCTTATTAGTTTAAATAAAAATTTATGTAAGTGCTTCTGTTTATTAAAAATATTTCATTAAAGAAAGTAACTGAACTAACAAAAATAGATTATTATGTGACTAAGATATGCATCTCTTGTATCAAATACTATTCTATCTGATACAAGTACATTGACATAAATTGTAAGACAAGCTATCATTAACCTTTAACTTATATAAATATATATATATTATTACATATACAGTCAAACCCCGCTATAGTGAACATGGTTTATAGTGAACNAACTTATATAAATATATATATCTATCTATATGTGTGTTTATAAAATGCTTGCTCATAACCTAGGAACAATAATCATAATTCACCAGTTAACTGTAATAAAAATATAAACTTTGTAAATTTTTTTATGTTATACATATTCTATATATTTATTTTATATTATTTACAAAACTGATATAAAAGTGAAATTTTAAATTTTTGTGTGAAAAGGAATACTAAAAGGTGTGGTTATGTAGTGGCCAATCCAAAGATGGCATAGTATTTCTATTATAAGGTTGTTCAATATTTATGTTGTAGTGCAACTTCACCACTTTGAGAGCATTTGACCCAATTAAAAAAAATATATTTCTTTGGGTATACAAGCCCCAATTCTTAATGTGTTCTTCCTATGTTACTAATGTGTTCTTCTAGGAGGATAATTCACTTGTCCAACCTAATTGAAGGCACATTAGTATGCTCTGACAAGTTGAATGCATTTGAATTTACATTTTAAGTTAATTTAACTTTACCTGTTAGGAAGTATTTGTTTAAATGACAATAATTAACAATTATTTTGCTTTTCAAGCAAAACCTCTTGATCTAGAACTGTAAATTTTGAAGGGAAAAAAAACACCTTGAAAAAAAATGCTTGTTTTTTTTTTCAATTGAATATATCAAGTAGGCCCACTTGCTATCACCACAGTTGCATCAAATATTTTAAATTAGGTGGTTTTTAATGATTTTTTTGAATAATTACAGGGGAAAGAGAAGATTCTTTGCATCTGGTTCTGAAGACACGACCTTAAAGCTTTGGGAAGTCCCCGAGTCGAAACCAGTAGTGGCCACAAAGCCACTATTGAGTCCTTACTGCACCGTGAAAGCTCATGATAAACTAATTAATGATATTGATATCTCTGAAAATGATAAATTTCTTGTTACTGGTTCTCAAGATCATACTGCTAAAGTTAGTTTTTTTTTTTAATATAATCAATTATATATTTTTTTATGTTTCATTATTTTGTAACTGTTAGAAAAGAAACTTACTAAGAAAACGGGACTGGAAGAAAACATTTGATTAGAAGTAGGATTATTTTTTTTCGCTTTGTTTAAAACAGGTAGTATTTAGTGTGATTCTTTTTTGCTTGGTTAAAAACTGATTTTATTCAGTATGAGTCTTTTGTTATATGTTTAAAACTGGTCTTGGTAACTGGATTTATTTGGTAAGTCAGGTTTTATTTGATGATTTAACACGTTAAGTTCACGTAACACGTAAATAAAACGTAAATAATTACTAACATGTAAATAAAAATTAAGTCCAAAAAATATTTTTCAAGTTGAAATATTTTACATTGTTCCCTCTAAATATGATACATTTGTCCTTAAATAAAGATGCATAACTTTATTGAATCTGACATAGATGACGTTCTTAAATCTTTGAATTGGTAGCTTTATGATATGTTTTTTAAATTTCCTTTGTATACTTTGCGATACTCTTGAATAAATTATTTTAACTTTTCTAATTCGTAATTTTTTTTAATGTAATTTAAAATTTTTCGTGAAATAAAAACTTTATATATAAAGAAAATATGATAAAAATTGCAAAATTAATTGCATATAACATATTAATAATAGTTTTTGAAAGGGTCAAATTGATATCTAGTTATTCATATCTATCTCCTCATTGTTTATAATGCGTTGATATTTCACAATCAACAAATGTCTGAATTCTTTACTGGTGTGTAAGTAGCCCCCTTGATTTTCATAGAATTTTGAGGCTTTGAAAAGTTGACATATACACTGATGAATTCAGTAGTTAAAATAAATGACAATTTTAATTTTCCAACTGAATTTGTGAAAAAGTTTATTATTGAAATTTTGTATCTAAGTCTTCTGTTATTAATATTGAGTTCATTGTATTGCAACTTCTGAATTCCTTGATTATTTACTCCTTGTAAATTTTTTAAAACAGGGGGGTTACAAACATCCAATCATAAACCTCAAATTTAGTTATTGCATTCATACTTTTTAACTATTTTACTGATTTTATTGCACTGCATACTTTTCAATTGGAATTGAAAAAAAAATGAATATACCTTGTGGTTTATTCATATTTAAAAAATTGTATGCTAGATAAAGTATCTGCATTACAGGGTCTAAAGATTGAAGGAATAATCTTTATGGCAGTATAAATGTTGTCCACTTTAAAAGAAGGCTCTCTTTTGGGAAAAATATGTCAACAAATTTCTTCTAGATATAACCTGCACCAATAAATGCCTCCTCCAAGGCATTGGTAATGAAGTCCTGCGCATGTTAATATACCATGCATTGTTAAAAATAAAAAAAATCACTGTTGATCATCTTGATTTTTTTTACTATTAAATAATTATTCACTGTGTGGTCCTTTAGTTTTTATTTCATTAATTATTCAATGAGTGGTCATATAGTATTTTACATTATAAAATAAATATTCAATTTTTCAACACCATGTTTTATATTTCTTACAGTTTTGCTGTTTATTAACAAAAGTTTGATATTAAGTATTAATTTTATTGAAGATTTAACTCAGTCTTAATTTTATTTCTTTTGATGCACATACATTTTACTCTAAATGAATAAAACTTTGTAGTTTATTCATTTGTAAAAGACAGTGCTAAATAGAGTATCTGCATTACAGGGTCTAAAGATGGAAGAAATAATCTTTATGGCAGTATAAATGTAGAACAGAAATATATTTTGTGTAATGATTTTAATGGATTTTTTTTTAAATATATATATATACTAGCAGTAATATTATTTTTATACCTATTTTTTTTTTTTTTCAAAAAAAATTTTTTTAATGCATATTACATTAAGATACAAACAGGCTTTCTTATTGATTTTATTTTATTTAATAAAATAATCCCAATTCTGAGTTTACCACTATCACTGTTCAACTCCGTGACCTTGTAATTTTGAATACAACCCAGAAGGCAAGAGAACTCTTGAATCAAGGATTTTAAAACTTTCGTTGTCACCCTAAATTTTGGGTTAATAACTACTTTTGTCCAACTTGTAGCCTTGTAATTTGTAACCAAATTCAGAAGACGAGAACTCCTGGATCGAGTATTGGGAGAAATTTGCCGTCATGGAGGATTTTTGACGGAACTAACCTGCATTTGCTTTTCATGGAGAGGAACACCTCGCACCGTTATGGACAGTTTAGCCTTTGTGGAATACTTTTTGATAGAACCAGCCCACATTTNTAACCTAATATCGTGATATAAAAGGGTTGATTATATCGATTTAAGAAATTTCTATATCGTCCAGCCCTACTGTCTACCACTAAGGATGTTCTATGTCAGCATTGTGATTGATACGAGCTGGGAGCAAAATTCGTATCAGACGAACACTGCTGTGATTCGAACCTGGGTCACCACATTGGGAGACCCCTGAGCCCTCATGACTCATTCTTAATGATTTTTACACCTTATATCAGCTGAAACACAGTGTATCTTAATGCTAGCAAAAATAGGCAAACCATTTCCATCATCTCAAATGCTTACATATTATTTTAGTAATCCGTTATAAAAGATACTTTCAAATGTCCATCTTTAAATGTATTAACTGGTCTTATTATCTTTGTATTTTAGCCATATAGTAGTAATGTTTTTGATTTCTGTCTGTTATTTTGTTGACACCTTTTTTGTGTTACTTTATCTTCATTTGTTACAGATTTGGGATTCTTCTGATCTGTGTCTTATGGGTACTTTAAGAGGTCACAAAAAAGGAGTTTGGTGTGTGAAATTTTCACCCGTTGATTTAGTAAGTTTATTTATTTTAATGTTTGTTTTTTTTAAGAATTTTCTATTTATTTAATTTTCATCTATTACTATTTACACAAAACTGGCAGCTCACTGATTTGATGAGACTTAGTAGAGAGAGTTTTCTCAGTTAAGTTGAAAAATATTTATAAACTTGTAGGTGGGTTAGCAGTGTAAGAAATATTCCTTATTGTCACGTAGGGGACGAGATTAAAATTCACACCACAATAACTCTCCAAATTTCATGCATAAGAAAGGAAGTTCTTGTATCTACTAAATATTTGCAAAAAGATTATTTCTTATCAGTTTCTCTCTTATTTGTCTGAAACTCTCTGTGGAACTTATAGATTGCTATTTATTGAGGAGAACATATTGTCACTGTTCCTTCCGCCAACGACATCCATCTTAAGGTTAACAATAATTTTCTTCGTCTTTGAGCTATTATGCTATGTTTCACCATGATTGGAGAAAGATAGCAGTTTTGTGTAAAATTCCTCCCCCTCTTAGTTACTAAACCCCATCTTATTGACTCACTATTTGAACTTACTATTTATAACTATTGAGTTACAGAAAACTAATATATGATGCAATCCTTGAAACTTTAAAGGCATATTCCTTAGAGATTATTGTTTTAAAATACCCAGGAAATGAATGAATTCACATTTATAGTTTATAATAACTCTGTGAGTGATGTTAGTGTTAACTGTGAAGGGTTTTTTGATGAATCCTATACAATTGGTATTAATTGATCAAAAATTCTTCGGTACTGAAGAAGGCTATATCTGTAGACTCTCATTCTGCAATCTTTGCAATTGCTTCTGCATTAAACAATTATCTAATTGTGGTGAATGGTATTTGGTCTAGAGCAATTTCTTCTGATTAGAAAATATTCTTCCGTAGCCAGGCGACCAAATAAGGAATTAACATGTAAGTTCCCTTTTTTACATGTTAATTCTTTTTTTTACTTCTGGTTCTATTTTCCAGCATATGGTCTAGATTCTTGTCAATTATTTTTAGTAGACCTACTGTTACTTTGCAATTGCTGCACAAATGCTGTTATCTTAAATTTCTTTTAATTTTTAATGCATGTATCTAAAATATTTTGTTACAGTATTATTATTTTTAAACCAATAAATCCTAAATCATTTTTAATTTAGGAAAAATGAAATAAAGCTTGGGTTTGCTTTTACTTTGACTTCTTTATTATTTTAATTGAAAAAAATTAAGCAATGATATTAATGTCATAGTAGAATATGTTTAGAATTAATATTTTATTTTGTAATAGATTCATTCCTTTTTATTTATTTTTGATTGATTTAAAGATTTCCCATAGGTAATTTTTGAACATTCGTGATACATCTTTGTATCGTGATATCTAACTGATGATGTATCACGATTTAAAATTTCTGACATCACCCAGTCCTAATCTTAGTATTTGACAATTAAGCTACAATTTTAGTTATTTGGCTACTATTTTTGTTCCTGTTCAGGCAACTATTTTCATAGTTTTAGGCAACTATTTTCATAGTTTTAGGTTACTAATAGCAACTATTTTTGTTCATTTTTTACTGTAGCAAGCCTGCACTTAAAATGTTCAAATACCATTTATTTATTAAAATTTATAGTAAAACCTTATAGTCCCAAAAGTCACCAAAATAGTTTCCATAGTAACCATTTTCAGCGTTTATAGCAGGGAAAAAAAACATAATTTGGCTTATTTTTCTCATTTTCAGCTTATGTATATACGCCAAAAAAAAAAATTCCTCTAGACTAGATTCAGTTTCAGGACTGTGAATTTAACTTTCAGAGACAAACTTAATTTGATATAAGAAAGTTTGCTCCTTTTATTAAGTTAAGTATTTTCAAAATAAAGTTGTCTTTTATTGGTTAATACATTCACAATTGTCTTTACATACTTTGTTTAAAAAATTGGGGGTTCTGCACAAAAAAAAAAGTTGATCTTTTAGGCTTCCAAAGCCGAAAAAAGCTGCTGGTCTCAATTTCTTTTTTCTCTTAAAAATTTTGTTTCTTGCTTCATTTATTATTATTTTATGATTTCAATTTGTATAAGTTCATCAAGTTTTTTTTATAAATTTTTTTTTAGTCTGTATTAAGTGGGTAATCTATATTATCTTCTTTTTTTTTTATGTATTACAACTTCTAGAAGATAATCTGCAGATCTTCTCACTAACATTTATTTGATTTCAGGCAGTGGCAACATGCTCTGGAGATGAAACTATAAGAATATGGTCAATAAATGATTTTTCATGTCTAAGGGTAATTCTGTTTTTTTTTAAATTCTTTTCAAAATTATTTACTTAATTTTTTTAAGCAAATATTATAATGGTGTCATACAGAGCTATTTTTATGTATGTTTATTTTACAATAATTTAGTCCTTGGTTGTATTTATCGATTAATATTTTCAGGGATGTTTATTAAATGTTCTTTTTTTCTTTCTTTTTTTAATTTTTATATAGGTTTTTCAAGGACATGAAGCAACAGTTTTGCAAGTTGTTTTCTTAAGTAGGGGTACTCAAATCTTATCTAGGTAAAGTAATTTATTTTTGTTTCGTATTTTATTTCATACCTAGTATTTTATTGATGTTGTAATATACTTCCTTTGCATTTATTAAAAATTGTTATGTACATTTTTTTAATTTTCAAAATCAGAAAAGTAACTTCTATAGGATTAAGTACATAGAGATTTCAAAAGTATGTAATTATAGTTTTTATATAGGTTTCTTTTATCAATAATAAGCATCAAAATGCTTTCAAATTATAATTTGTTAAACTTTTTTACAATGAAAATGTACGTCTTACTCATATAAAAATTGTTTTGATTTTAACATTCCATTAGTTTTTGGTCAAATTTATATTTGGTAAGGTACAATATACCTTAGCAAAACAAACTTTGTCTAATTCCAGTAAAAAAAATAATAAAAAATTGAGAGAGGGGAGATTCTGTTAATCATCGTAAGTGTATATAAATATAATAAAAATACGAAGTGAATATAATAAAAAGTGAATACGAAGTGATAAATATAATAAAAATACGAAACAGAAACTACATTGAGAATTAAGAAATAGAGCAAATATTTCCAATTTGAAACAGTACCAAACTGCTAATTTTACAACTGAAATAAAACATTTGAAGAAAATGTAAATTAAGACAAAATACCCGATTGATCCACTGTAACAGCAGCACACAATTAAATTTAAAACACAATGAAAGAATGGAATTCGTGTCAGCTTTCTCAGGAGGACTATACTATGCAATCAGTCTTAATTTACCTTTTCTCAATGCAATGGAACCCCGGTTTTATGTTGTCCGTTTCGTAGGTTATCCTGCTTCCTACGTTATTTTTTGCTGGTCAATGAAAATAGCCTATACCGATAATGCTATCACGGATTTTATGTTTCCTTTTTTAAAGAAGATTCTGCTTTATATGTTTTTCTTAAAAATCAAAATTATTTTTTCTCTATAAAATTCGCAAAAGCTTTCTCTGAATTTTTTCAATTATTAGCTGATTTTGGATTTACTGACATTCTTTTTTCTGTGAGAAGGAATTTCCCCTTTTGAATCAAGCGGGTGGTGGAATGGGCAAAAAACTGGAACGGTAGTTAAAGTAAGTACGGGAGCTTAATTTTTCAAATTTGCGAGTGGAATTTATTGTAGCAAACCTTAACTTTTAAATCTAGGAATTATCTAATCATGTAAAGAACGTTACACTACAAACAACTGTTTCAGTAATCATTTAATTCAAAAATATACAAAAAAAAATTCCCCTATTTTATGGTAGTCCGCTTCGTGCAATTTTTAACCCTAGCCTGATGGAAAACAAAATCAGGGCTCCGTATTATATATATTACATATTCAGGTTCCGTTATTATTTATTTATTGTTAATATTATCTATTTTCAGTGCTTCTGATGGCAATATAAAATTATGGGATATTAAAAATAGCCTGTGTACAAAGACCCTATCAGAGCATGATCTTAGAGTGTGGACTTTGGCAGTGTCTTCTAATGAAGAATATGTTGTATCGGGAGGAGCAGATTCCAATGTCATAGTTTGGAAAGTATGCATGAAAAATAGATAACATATTTGTTGTGATGTTTTGATTTTTAAAGAAGAGATTTAATTTATATATGTTTAAAGCAAAAATAAATGATAAGGATGTTTGATGGAGTACTAATGGTTAACCAAGTGAGCACGAGCAGTTCTAATGGTTGTTGCGTTATAGCAAGCAAAGGACTGAGCTCCCTATTTTCTATACATAGTAAAAAAATCAGCTTGTTTTAAAAGACTGGCTTAGGGGTTTTTTCTTCCCATTTCTATTTTTTTTTTATTATTATTTTATTCTATATGCTTTTTATAGCCCAAATACTGACTGTCCTTATTATTTACTTTTGTTATTGATCAGAAAAGAAACTTATTTCCAATTTTATCAAAAATGTTTAAATTTTTTTTCAGGCAGACTATTTCTTTTTTGAAAAAAAAATTCAGATAATGTCAATTTAATAGACTTGATTTATTTTTATTTCTAAGACATATTTTATAATGAAATAAAATATGTCTAGAAAGAAATTCTTGTATAAATTTACAGGTTTTAAAGTATTCTGCAAAAAGATTTCTTATTTAAAAAAATTTATTAGGATATATGAATATTTTATGCATATGAGAAGAATCTACTTATTATAGATGATTCATTTAGTTTTACAAATGTTGTTAACATTCAATATTAAAAATAACAAACAATTTGGCTAACCAATAATGGTCTTTGTTGTTTCCCTCTTATATAAATTTACAAAGTTAACAAAAAAAATTATGTTTATTGTTCATCATTACAATTATTCTCCTCTTAAATTACAGGATACTACAAAAGTAGAAAAAGAAAAGGAGATCTCTGATAAGGAAGAGTATTTAGTTCAGTGAGTTATCTGTTTTTTGCTTTTGTTTCCCTTTAGCTAACACATCGCCACACACTTTTATATTCACAATCATTCAGAACAATTTTTTTTTAAATTTTATGCATACTATATGAAATTGAATATTATCACATTCTGTCACGCACATTGTCACAGTTCTTGTATGAAAACTCATGACTGCTGTAATCATCAATTCACCTCAACGCACCAAACAAACAATAAAATAAAAAAAACAATTGTAATGAGATCTGGAATGTTATAAACCTTTTTTTTGGGTGTATTGCTAAGTAATTGACAAATAATTCCATTAGTACACTAAGTATCAATAACAGACTACCTGGAAAATCGGAAAAGCCAGGGAATTTAGAAATTGTCCAAAAAAAAAGCAAGGAATTAAACAGTTTTGTGTCAAAATCTGGAAACGCTAGGGAGTTAGGTTTGACGAGCGCCAAACAAGCGATCTTCGCGGTAACATTTTCCAGGGAACACATTTCCAAAGCATGAGTTTCTTTTTCCCTCATTTGACAGGAGCCGAATTTCGCATAGCCATAGTTACGACTTGGGAAATTTTCAACTGGAAATAAGTTGTTTGTTGTTAGAATCCAGAACAGATAGAAGGATGGATGAACTTCAGATTGTCTATTCTTATATTTGATTAAGAAATTCGTTGGGATGTTTTATAATCTCTTATAAATTAATGTTTAATAGCACTCAAACTTGTCTCCTGTTAAGGATTCGCAAGAAGCATGGAAATTGCTGTTCCACATGGAAATTATAAAGCAACAACTATAATATCTTCGGGTCAATCCAGGTTTTATTTTTAGGATCTATTTGTGTAAAAAATAGAAATTATTTTTTTCTGAAAATTTCTGAGATTAATGAAAAACATATAATTTTAACAAATTCTATTTTTTATATCTTTTTTTCTTATTGTAAATCCATTTGTTTTTCCTAACGTTTTTTGGCCACTTTTCCTGTTGCCTTTCAAATTAGTTCCTATGTACTTAATATGTTGTTACAATATGTAAATTTAAACCGTCACTTTTTTGAAACGTTCATTTCGTGACGATTCCATCATAATTTTACGAATCATCATAATTTTACCTTATTTATCATTTTTTGGCTCCATTAACGTGGTTTTTCTAATATTTTGACCTTTGCATTGACAGTGCATACTATAATATTAAACTGGACTTTTTTTAAGTATATCGGGAAAAGTCGAGGAATTTTTTTGTTTTTATTCTACTCAAAGCAATAGCCTTCTGAGGCTTTAAGCTGAATAAAAATTAAGGAGTGAAAGTAACAAAAGAAAGTGTATTTCAGGTATAACTTAGTCCAGAGGGTACAAAACATGATCATTAATTACTCTAACAGAAGGTCATGTTCGGATAAAAGCTGGGTATTCAATGTCCTGCATATCGAGTCTTATCTATGTTTATGTCTGAGGTGTCTTTTCAACTGTCTTCATTACCTGTTGTGTTGTGATTACTAAGAAAATCGGTTCTTTCATTTCCAGGTATATTGAGATGACTGGAAATATTTTGCAGCAGGGAAAAAAACATAGTAGAAAAAATAACCTTGTTTTTCTTTACCCCTAACCACCTTAACTGTGAACCGCATAAAAAAGGTTCCCTAAAGAACTAGAAATTGAATGCTATTGGCCATTCTCTATTGCAGAAAAATTTTCTTTTTAAAAATAAAAATGCAACAAAAATATCCTTTTTTCAATCAATATTAATAAAAATATTTTTTCCAGAGAACAAGAACTTGTGAATTTAGTTTACAAAGAGAAGTGGATTAAAGCTTTAGGATTAGCAATTACATTGGATAAACCATACCAGGCATTTATTATAATTCAAGGTAAGATCATATTAAAAGTGAATTATATAATTCAATAAAATTGTACTCATATTTAATGAGCATTTTTTTTATAGAAATTCTAAACAAAAATGGAGAGGAAACTCTAGAAACTGTTTTTTCTACATTGCGTCAAGATCAAAAAGGTACAATTTTTTTTTATCAGGCATGATATTCTGCCACATTTTTAAAATTTTCTTCCTTTTTCATCAGTTTTTATTATACATTGGAGGTTTTTATTATGCAATGTTTTTATCATACACTTTTTGAGATGTTATAATGAAAACTTTTAAATCCATGGATTGATGAAGATTGTGATCAATTACTTATTTTCAATGTGGCTTTTTGGTAATGATTCAGTAAGTTTTTCAATTTATCTAAGATTTCTGTGGTCAGTTTTGCAGTTGTAAGCTTTTCATATTTAAATTTGTGGTGCAAGTGCTGCGCCAATTGTGGAGGCCTGCTCGAAATTGTAAGAATTGGCTTAAATTGCGCTAATCTGCGCCAAAAAGGATATTTTCCCCTGGGTATTGCCAAGTCACAATTTTGCAGCAACCAAGCTACTGCCATGTGGTGGGTTGCTTTGGATTCAGTGGGAAGGATTCTTGCACTCTCATATGCAACTCTGCTTCATTTTGCATATTCTCAATTTCAGGCTTCATTTTCCACTCTCTGAAATGAAACCAAAACTTCTCTCGAATTTTCGGGGACCAACTAAACATTGCCAAATTTTAATAGCAAAAGAAAATTTTATTTCTCTTGTTAATTTCGTCGTTATTGAAGTGCCATCGTCTTCGTCAATGGCAAGCTACTGGCCTTCTTGCGCTTTTCTATTTATAGATTGGTACCATGATTTTTGAATTAACTTGAGGGACCATTCACTAAGAGAGCAGTGAAGAACCACAAAGCTTCATAAACCTCAAAATTTCCATCTCCCTTTTATTCATTTAATTTAATAAAGATAAGAATTAATTGAGTTTCCTAAGCGTAAATTTTAACTGAGGGACCATCCACTAATTGCATATTGTTTTTAAACATTTATTTTAATTTATTACTTTGTTTTACTACTTTTTTTTTATTACCTATTGCATGTTATTATTGTATTATTGCTTTCAAAATTTTCAGTGCTCTTAATTCGTATTAGGAAAAAACTTAATAATATTTAGAGGCAAGATTTTAAATAAGTATGAAGAGAGGGGCTTTCAATCTTTTTTCAGCAAAAAATCTTATGTTTTTCAGATTTGTCATTCAAAAATACTTTAATTCATCTCTTAATTGATTTGATTTAAAACAATTGATATAAAAAAATTTTAATCATCACAAATTTACTAAATATTTTGAGTGTAGGGACAATATAATAATTTACTTCTGACAAAAATTACTCATTGTATTTGCATTTAAAAATTATTTAATTTTTTTTAATCATTTCATTAATAAAAAAAAGTGCTAGGTAACCAATTTTAAAAAAAAATTATTAGGGGCCATTTACTAATTTATATTTGTACTAATACTAATTTATATACTTTACTAATTTATATACTTAACATATTTTTATAAATTCAGTATGTATATTAATCCTGTTAATGTTTTGTTGATTTTACTATTACAAATAACATTTATTTAAAATTTAAGAAAAATACACTATAACCTTAAATAATAGTTAAATTAATTAGAGTTTTGAATTACCTTTTACAGAATTAAATAAAGTAATTGTTAATTTAAAAAATAGTATGAGCCACTCAATATTAAATTTATTTAAATTGCTTTTGCCAAAAGCTCTTTTTTAAGAAATATTTTGCCTATAATAAATAAATTTTTAGATCTTTTCCAAACTGAGACACCATTGATTCACTTGCTGTATGATGAAATGGCGTCTCTAGTTAAAGCATTGTTAGGACGTTTTTTTTATGAGTTATGCTTTTCTTAGTTTGTCAGGAAAGGACTTAAAATCATTGGATGTAAAAAACGCAGATATTTGGCAAAATTCAAATTTAATAGATAATGGAATAGATACCACAAAGGCGATGACGTCCTTATCTTCTTCAGAAAAAAAATCTATGTATTTAGGTTCAAGGTCTTTTTACTTGGCATGCGCAAAAAAGTTTTTAAAAGCATTGTCTCTTGAAAATAGGTTAATTTACCATCTTAAAGTGTTGCATTTTGTAATGCAACACTTTGTGAGCGAAACGCTACTTGAGAATAGGGCAAGTTTAAATTTGCATAGTGTTAATGGTTTGAAACAAGTTGTGTCACATATTAACAAAGTAGGGGGTTTAAATAACTTTAAAGTGGACAACAATATGATTAAAGTGGCCCACTTCTATTAAGTCAATAAGATATCTGGCAAAAGTAACCCCATCCATTATAAAATCTGAAGAGGCATCTTTGTTACTAGATGAATGGACGAGGTTACGTGGGGAACCAGAAGGTTATTCTTCTGAGTCAAATGAATATGCACCAATTGATGTGTTTTGGAAAAACTATTTTGTGAAGAAAGATAATTTGGGAAACATCAAATATCCTTTTGTAATAAAGCTTTTTAAAGCTCTTTTGTGCATACCACATGTTGATGTTGAAAGAGGTTTTAGTGTGAGCGAAACGCTACTTGACAATAGGGCCAGTTTAAATTCGCATAGTGTTAATGGTTTGAGACAAGTTGTGTCACATATTAACAAAGTAGGGGGTTTAAATAACTTTAAAGTGAACAACAATATGATTAAAGTGGCACGTGCAGCATTTAAAAATTATTCTGCTCGATTAGAGGTTGAGGAAAAAGAATGTGAAAACACTGAAACCAAGGAAAGCAGATTGAAATTGATTTGCAAAAAAAATTGAAGGCTTCTCAAGATCTCTTAGCCACAGCTGAAAAAAAATAAAGACATGTTGATTATAGAAAGCGGACAAATCCTCTTATCTGAGGCTAAGTCGAGGATAGCAGAATATTTAACAGCATTGGAGGATAGCAAAAAGAAACTTAATTTGTTAATGCAGGAACCTTCAAAAAAGTGTAAAAAATAAGATATGTTATTAATGAACAAAATTAAAAATGCTTGTTATTACATTCTTATTTTATTTCTCTTTATTAACTGTGCTCCAAAATTGCTTTTTTGTTGCTCCAAAGATGCTCCCAAACCATGTTTTGTCACTTGCACCACTGAAATTAATATTTTTATGTAGTAGGTAATCTATTAATGATACGATGAAGAAATCTTGTTTAAAAGTTTGAAAAACTTGCTGTAAATTATTATTGCATAGTATTAAATCTGCTACTCACAAAATACAACTTTTTTTAAAGAGCATGTTACATGTATTGCACAAGTTTTTTCACTATTGTGCAATCTCATACTTGTACTGTATTTTCTTGAGCTGAATTGAATTACAATACAAAATGCCAGTCCGTTTAATTCGTATTTAGTCTCATTCGGTTACGCGAGGAAGAAAAAAAATTCAATCAATTTTTTTCCCTCTCTACAAGCTATTGGATCAGTATTTTGTGTTGGCTACTACTATTTATTTTCTCTTTGTTTACAGAAGCGCTACTGAAGTTCTCTGGAGATTGGGTCACAAATGCAAAAACATTCTATCCAGCTGTATTAATTTTGAACATGATTTACAACAGTCATGATTGTGAGGAGCTGTTGAAATTGCCGAATATCTCTACTTACATTCGGGATGCCTTGCCATATTTAGGTTTGTAGCAATTTCTAATATTTATATCATTATCAGGTATCCTTCAAGGATTTCTTGCAAAGTTTTTGGAATTTTCCAATTACTACAGAATATGTAATCTATAAGAACCACTTATGTATAAAAATGCTTATGAAATTAAGTCTTGTTAAGAAAAAATTGAAAATTTCATTTCAAATCTTATGTTTATTATAATCAAAGGTTTGTTTAGAAGAAATTTGGGTTCGTTAACGGACTCTTCACAAAAAAAACGGACCCTTCACAAATTTGTTTATCTTCATTATTGTTTTATTAATCGAATAAACCCTTCCAGGGGGGGAGACGGTTTGAAACGAACTAAGTTTAAATTCGAAATGCAGTATTCTGAGAAAATATTTCTATATTTACAAACATCGTATGCACATTCTTATTGATATTATGCGCATCTTATTGATATTTTTTGCAAATAAAATATTANAGATCCAGGAAGAAAAGTGAAACGGATTTTATTCTAAATGGCGCAAATGAGAAATTTTTTTCAAAATGCGAGAAATTCGCGAATTTTGAAATTGGTTTATAGAATGCGCGAATTTCTCGCGGTAATCATTTTTTAATGCGAGAATATAAAAAAATATGCGAGATTCTCGCACTGTAGTGAAAACACTGGTTTAGAAGAAATTTGGGTTCGTTAACGGACTCTTCACAAAATATCTTTTCATAAAAACGGACCCTTCATAAATTTGTTTATCTTCATTATTGTTTTGTTAATCGAATAAACCCTTCCAGGGGGGGGAGACGGTTTGAAACGAACTAAGTTTAAATTCGAAATGCAGTATTCTAAGAAAATATTTCTATATTTACAAACATCGTATTCACATTCTTATTGATATTATGCGCATCTTATTGATATTTTTTGCAAATAAAATATTATAAATTTAAGAATTGTTTAAATTATTTAATGTGTAACACATTAAAAGTGATACATTGTTATTGGAAATTATTAAAAATGGGAGTAATTTTACTTCCATTATTTGTCTGAAATGAATATTCTGTGTTGAGGTAAATACCAAATATTTGTATGTTGTATCTCTAATTTAGTAGCAGCAATTGTTGAGCAGACTCTTGTATCCATTTACAATTTAAAAACCTTTTGAAAAGATTTTTTGCAATAACAGGACCCTATTTTCACAAATTCACAAAAGCAGGACCCTTGTTGAAAGAATGTAACTTAACGCTTATATTATATTCACAAATTATGAGTAGTTTTTCACAAAATGTCTGGACAGACCCCTGATAATACAGATTGCTTACAATTCAAAATTAAATTTATAACTTAGCTCCTTTTCATGCACAGAAAAACAAACAAAGTGAAGTGTTAACCATATGAATTAAGTGGTTAAAAGTTCCTCTTTCGCATAAAGATAGAAACTAGTTTTTACTTAAGTTTTGACATTAAGTTAATATGATGTTTGCTTTTTATGTACGTTTTGTCGAATGAGGTGCAAAAGATCAAGATATTAATAGCTTATGGATGTTAATTCAACTTCTTCAAAGAACTTTTTTACAATTTATGTTGTAATTACAGGGGTCTGTCTAGGTTTTTGTGAAAATTAAAAATTTTATTGAAAAATCAACACAGAAATATGGTAAAAATATGGATTTATCATTTCTTACAGACAAAAATAAATTTAAGAAAAAGTATTTTGTGAGGGTACCGCTAAACAAGTAGTAAATTAGGCCCGGACAGACCTCTGAATTATTAATAAAACAAGGTTTTGGAAACTTTATAGCTGAAATTCTAGGGTGAAAGTTATTCAAAGATTGAAGGATAACTGTTATTTTTTAACGAGTTATCAGCAATTTCTAAACTAATTTAAAGTTAAAAATTAATCATAGTTTTTATGAAGCGCTCTATAATGTGAAATTCGCCTATACACTTAAATGCAGGCTTCTATCTTTGATTCAATTTAAAATAAATGCTTTACTTTTTTGTGTCTTCTTGCTTGAAAAATAATTAAGCAGCATTTAATATTTTATTTTTTCATTTTACAGACAGACATTTCAAGCGTTTGAATAAACGATGCCAAGACATGCAGATACTCAACTTTTTATGCTCTCATTTCAAGATAACCAACCAAATGGTAAAAAAATTTATATCCCTTAAAAGGTTTTTATTTGAAGCATGTCTAAACTTTTATTAAGCTTAACCATGTAATTAACTGCTTTACTATCCTATGATGAGCTATCCTGTCATTTGATATGCATTGATAATTGTTAAACTTTTGTATACATGCATCTAGAACATCTAATCCAGTGGTTCCCAACCTGAGGGCGATCGCCCTAAAGCGGGCAATAGAGCCCCTCAAGGGGGCGACGAGTATTCCAACGATAAAAATTGCTAATAATATTAATCATCATAGTTGGCCAGACAGCCCAATGTGAGCCAATGCCTTCCTCTGAAGATTTCTCCATTACGACAACCGATTTATCTTTGATCTCCAACTTTTTTCATTAATTGCGAGAAAATCAGACTCAACTGCGGCCTTCCCCGGTTTCTTTTTCCAGTGGGTCTAAAAAGCAGTATCTTTTTTATTGTGTCGTGGGCGATCCAATTCATTCTATTTATTTTTATGTATTTAATAATATCAGGTTTTTTATAAATCTTATTCAGTTCAAAGTTAAATCTCCTTTTCCTGTTATTGTTTTCATTTACACCACCAAGTATACCCCGCAAAATCTTTCTCTCAAATATTGCGATACAATTTTCCTCTAATTTTGTCATTGTCCAAGCTTCTGAAGCGTATGTCAAGACTGACCGGACAAGAGTTTTGTAGATTAAGAACTTTGTTATGCTAGAAAGAAACCTAGATTTAATAAATCTTCTCAGCCCTATTCGCCCAAATAGAGTTGGTTTTTTATTTCAGGAGTAATTCTGTTGTCAATGGTAATAATTGAACCTAAGTAAGTAAAATTCAAGACAGGGATCTGGGACTCTGTTTCATGAGAATAACATATATTTTGTTTTCTCTACATTTATGACCAACCCCATTTGCGTTGCAGCCACCTCAAGGGCAAGAAGGGAACGAGCAATAATATCATTAATAACAAAAGCTATTTGAAATAGAAAACATTTGTGAAACTTATGGTTCTAGTGTAGAAAAGAATTATGATAGTTAAAAATTAAAGTTCCAGATTGTTTTAGTCATACGTTTTGATATCGCAGATGGATATTTGACCTTCAAGATCTTTCATATACCTTCTCCTCTCTGGTCTCATTCCTTGCCCTCCGATTTTAAAAGGCATGTAATAGGATAAACAGATTGATAGACAAAACATCTATCGCTAGATAACTCTGTGGTTTAACAGTTATAATATTGCTTTCAGGAAAACTCCAGACCGCCGTTTCATCGAATTGCTTGACTCGTTTACTGATCCTGTTTTAAGTGAGAGTTTGAAACAACGTAAGTTGGAAACTGCTTACCTCAAGGATAAAATCAACATTATCAAGGCTAAGGGAATCATATCTTCATTCATTGCCAAGTTTGATATCTACAAGTCAAACATTGGTCACAAAGAGCTAATGCAATTTCCAACTCTTAAAAAGTGTCCAATAGCAGATATCGAGATTCTGGAAAATAAAATCTTAATTTTTACTGATATGGAATCAAGATTTAAAGATTTGATGAAATTAGAAATTCCGGGTTGGATTTTTTCTCTTTTGAAGTTGTGGGTAAGCTTGGTTCCTCTTTGCAGTTGCAGACTGAGTTTTTAGTATGACTGTGAAGCTAAAGTCATCATTAAAAAATATGGTTACGAGTTAGCTTGGGTAAGGCTTGTGGACACTTGTGGAAGCAAACTGAGCCACTCTTCTCATTCCAATCAACATATATAGTGGAGAGAGGATTTAGTTATGTCGTCCACCTTCTCACAAAGCAAATAAATAGGTTGGACTTTTGCTTCAAAGGAGACCTGCATTAAAACCTGATATTCAAGCTTTAACTGAAATACACCAAGCACAGCGCAGTCATTGAAGTGGTAAAAATGTACTTTCTCACTCTTCCTTTTTTTCTCAAATTTTAGTTGTTAAAGTTTTAACTTTTTCTTGATTACGTTCAAATATGAATTTTAAAACATGTACTTTTGTTTTGATTATTCCGTTTTAAAATAAAAAGATTAGTAAAAATGCCTCCTTATTTGCATTACAATCAAATATAACTAAGCATATTTTTAGTGTTTGGTTGCTCAAAAAGAGAAAGGGGCGATGGTCCACAAAAGGTTGAGAACCACTAATCTTTCTCTACAGCAACCAAAAAGTCATGGATTAATTAACCTCTGCAGTGATTTTTTTTTTACCTAAGTTATTCATATTTATAGTTGTTTTTCCTTCACAATTAGGTACCTACAGACTCGTCCATGGAACAGTGAGTAAGCAGAGCTATAATTATTGATGATGTAAAGAACTTTTGTAAATAGTATTAAAATAAATATTTTTATTCTATAACAAATTGCTATGAATACAAATTAGCACCTATACATACATAACATATCAAATACTGATTCTCATCTACAAACATCAAAATGAAGATACTCCAGACAGTCTCCTTAATTCTTCATACGTAACCCAAAATGTAATTGACCAGGGTGCCTGAAATACATGTGTTTATAATGCATACGAAGAAACAGTTATTTTGGCATGAATTTAGATTTTTTTAGTATGCTATGATAGAAAGTTATTTTTCAAATAACATGCTTATATTGGGTAAATTTGACTTTCTTCCACTAAATCGCAGGAACAAACTCCTGATGTAAAAACCTACACTGAGCCATGAGGTGGCAAAATAAATGCCGAAAAGTTTCTGCCATTATTACTTAGGCATGTATCTACTGTTTTTAGACCCCTCTTAATTGCAAGCATCCTTAGGTGCTTGCTAATAAATGGCTATGGTTAGAAAAAGCAAGCAATAAAAATTCTTAGAACAACAGAGCTGTTGGTTTTTGAATTTGAAGTTTATACTAACCTGATACGGATAATTCAACGTCGTTACTGTCTTTGTTGTTGTGGAATAAATGTGACTGCAAAAATATTCATTTTTATAGTGGACTCTGCTTAACACTGCACTCCTAATTAAAAGATCTTTGCTCCTACAGGGTGTTCAAAAATACTCACCCTTATTGTATATTTTTAAAAACACTTCTCAAAGATGAATTAGTCACTAGAGGTTGAAAATGCATATTTGAGCCAGAAGAAACATATTATTGCAAGTAACACTTGAATACTATTAAGGCAAACTGAGCAGGTATTGAGTTCAAGAACAAAAAGATCCAATCATAAGTTATTCAGTGTTCATATATTTTAAAACTTACCATCCTAGTCCAAATGGGTACAAATCCTTTATACAAGGCCATAAATCCTTCTTCCTGTACAGTTTTTACTAAACAATCAATGGAAGACTTGTAAAATAGTCCTCTGTTAAAAAAAATAATAATAAAATTAGTTCACTAGACTCTTGTGCTATTTTAAATATAGTTTAAAATCCTGGAACACCTACTTTCCATTTGAGTCTAAAGGCTGATTCATTACTCTAGTTTTAATGACATCAGCAGGTGTACCAAGAGTAGCAGCAATCAATCCTGAGCAACCACTACAAAATTAAATATAATAAGCATTATTTCTAGTTTTTTTATTACATTTCAAAGTTGCTTTCATTTTATTAAATAGAAAAGAAAGCATGTTCTCTAATATTAGCACAAAAATTAACTACTAAAAAAAATTATAAAATTCTGTTTCCTACCAAAATTATTTACCTTGCAAGCATATGAGTCAGCCAATTATCCTTAAGGTTGTTTCTTAACATAAAATGTTTGCTACACTCATATGTGGCAAGATCTATAAAAAAAATCATTTGGTAGTATAAAAGAAAAAGGATCAATAAAAAATACATCATGCATAACAAACTATTAAGAGAAATTAAAACTATAAGGCAGTTCAGCATCCTCTTATGCAATTCCCTTTTAATTTTAGACACCTGCCTCACTAACTTTTGAATGTGTGTTTATTGGTATCATGGTGCGAACATTCATAAATCATATAATTTTTTCCTAATACTTTTTGTCCTTCGTGGCACATGTAACAGGGGAATTATTAAATCAATGTATTTGCCCTTTTTTTATTTATATATATATATATATAACTGTTGTTGAACAGTTGACCCAATTTTGAGTTTACAACTATATTCAACTGCATAGCCTTGTAATTTTGAACCCAATCCAAAAGATAAAGGAATTCCAGGATGAAGTGAGGGACATTTTGACTAAACTAACCTGCATTTGTGTTACAGGGAGAGGAAAACCTCGCACTGTTAGCCTAACGGCAAGATAACTCTACCTGTGATCCGTCTACTAGTACAAGCCGGGTGTTGGATTTGAACCTGGTTCATTTCATTAGGAGGCAAACTCCGTATCCCTTGAGCCACCGCACCCACCTTTTTTTTCTTATTTGACTACAGTCAAAATGAATTAATATTTAATATATTACGACATGGAAATTGTGCATTTCAACATTCACTTTTCAAAGAGCTGGATGCCATCGTAAATTCCAGTTAGTTTAAGTTAATGCAAATGATTTCCTCATTGTTTTTAAAGCTTCAATCGCACATTGAGTATAAACATATACTAGGATCTAGAATTAAAACACAGTCCTATTTTAAGCATAAAGTGGTAGATAACAGAAAAAAACATCCACTTGGTGAAAACAAATACGTACTTCTACTATTTTCATACATTTGTTTTTCACAAACAGACCACTGTTTACTTTACTTTTCTTTATTCACCACTATTTACTTTACATTATGTGAATTAATCCATTGCTACGATAATTTTTACATGAAATTCACGAATTGTTCAATTACATGAATCCAGAACATGTAAATTTAGTTGAATTAACCCTGAATCAACAAAACTTTTCCATCCTCAAAACAAAAGATAAAATAGGATTGTGTCCATAATAATCCACACTTATTTTTATTAAAATACTACTGACACTGATATTTTAATGCTATAAATGATTTTCAAGCATTTGTTGTAATAAATCAATATTTGAACCTAAAAACAATTTAATTGAGACAAAAAATTTTATTTAAAGTTAATATAAAGTTACATTATCAATTAACTGTTTCTAAATTGTCCAACGCAAAGTCAATTGGGATCCATCAATTTTCTATTCATGCTTTATTAAAACATTTTTTCTTAATAGTTAAGCATCCTAATATAGATCTAGTCCTAATATAATCTTGATCTAGTGCAGTGGTTCCCAAATTTTGACTCATTTTCCCTTTTTCACAATCGCTATAAAATAGTTCCTGATAAACTTCTTACTAAATATAACTCCTTATTAGAAATTCAAGAAAGTATAAAAAGGACTCCACCCCACCCTGTTTTGGTACAATAATCTAGTGCTGCGATTCCTTATTTTTATTATTTATTTTTTTGGCTATTTAACCCTAAATGATCAAGCTTCTTTTGGCAGAATCCTGGCTTAATAAATAAAATAGATAAATAAAAAAAAACGTGAGCATATTAATCAATAAATGACTTGATTTTGAAAATAGTTAATAAATAAAATAAATTTTTTTTATCGTTTTATCATTAATTACCTTTAATGTCTGACAATTAATTTTGCAGTCCTGAAGCTGTGCTTAATTTTGTAATTAATTTATTTTTGGTGTATATAACACAAAACGAAAATAAAATCCAAATTTATGGTTTTCTTTGAAAAACTAAAAAGTACTATAAACGATGAAAAATTTTAATATGGAAACATATTATCATTTTGGCTTGAAAAATACTACAGGAAATGCTAATTATTTTTTTATAAGTGCATGTCCTATCTATAATTTATTTAATATATAGTTATCAGAAAATTATTTTTTAAAAACATGTAGCCATTTCTTTTTTATTGGCATCTTACTTTCATAACGGCTACCGAAATATTAAATGAATAATGGATTATTGATTGAATATGTTTTAAAAATCATCATATGTTTAATAATCATAAAAATAAAAGAAAAAAAACCTTACTCTCAAAACTCTTATGAAACCCTAGGGTTCCGTGGGACACCATTTGGGAACCGCTAATTTAGTGCATGAATACAAAATGAGTCTACAAAATAAAATGTTAATCAGCATTGAAATAAATAACTAAGAGACCCCAAATTATATCTGAGTTTAAACCTAATTTTTATTAACCAGGCCTTGATAGTAGCAAAGATACTGTTTCTGTACCAGAAGGGAAACTCACTTTCTGAATAAACCATACACATAATGTTTCAATTTATATATAATGTACAATTTTTTTCTTCTTAAATTTAAAAACAAATATTTTAACTATTTTTTTTTAATTTACTAACAAATAGAGATTGGAAGTCAAGGCATACCACCCATGTTGACCAGAGCAGCTCTTTGAACGTTAGGGACCCAGCCCTTCCACAGACCTTTAATTCCACTTTCTGTCACTATCTTCTGGAATGCATGCCACGTGCTTCTTACCCTGCAAATATAATTACACAGATATGAAAAACGTATTTTCTTAAAATCTCGTAAATACAATAGACTTATCAGCAAGGTTGGATAAAAATTCACATTTTAATGAAAACGGCAAACTCATTTTTATGACGATATTATGCCAATACAATTCTCCAGCAGCTTTTTCAGAAAGTTAATATTTTTAAAAAAAACTCATGAAAATATATTAACGTGCCTTAAAATGATACATTTGTATTAAACACTTGCTTCTTGTTAAATTTTCCACAAAAAAAAAAACATTTTTATCTGTTAATTTTAAATTTATATTAAAAGAATTTTTCAGCATCACTCAAATCAGTTTTTGACAGTTTCAATAAAAGTACAGTTCTCAAAATTTTTTAGAGCATTGCACAGTATTAAATTAGTTATCCAAAATAACTAAATGCATAATCTTATTGCTTTAAATGTTGCATACAAATGCACACAGAAGTTTATCAAAATTTATCGAGTACTATTTCTCCTATTCTTAAAATGTGAAACTTATAATTCCCACACCTCTTAAAAAGGTATGAGGCAAAATAAAATACTATATTATCAAAAGTTTGCTTTTGCTCACAAAAAATAGAAAACCAATTAAAAGTAAAAAATGTTTTCTAAAATCCAATTGGAAGCAATGGGCTTTTAACAACTTCTATAAAGCAGGTTAAGAATATAGAAATAATTAGATAAAATTTTAAATCAGTTTTTTCCTAAAAGCACTTATTTGTAGTTAGCTTTTTAATGTAATATTTTACTCTATTAGTTCAATTTAAAATAAATGCAATATTTACCACAACCATAGACAAGACTCAAAACCTCTTTTTTAAATTAAATTTTGAAGAAAATTATTATATAAATTGATCATAAAAGTTAATAACAAGCTGCAAGGAATACCAAAAAACTTTTCTGCATCAACTTAATAAAAAAAATAGTTAGGCATTCATTGAAACATAATTATTCTATGTTCTGAAACAATAAATGAAGCATTGAAATTATGACATTAATATTGGTCCAAAAAAAATATTTCAATGCACGAAAACTTGTTAAAAGTAATAACAATATTTAAAAATATGACAATATTAAAAAAAATAATAAATATTCAACCTTGGAGGATAACCTTCTAATCTTCTTCTTCCTTCCATTTGCATCTGAACTTTAACCAGATCCGTAGGACTAGCCAAAAACTGACCTAAAGCGCCAGATGCACTTCCACAGAGAACAGATTTCCTACAAAGAAATTTAATTTTAGTCTATTTTATGTTAAAAAGTATGCAAAACTAATACAAATTAATTTCATAGTAGTTAAGGTGATATAATTCTCTCTTGCTCCTTACGACACTTGGACAAGCCTTTGCCAATTAAGTCAGTAAATTGCATCTTTCATTTTACCGCAGAGTGCCACTAAAGTAAAACTACAATATGCTCAAAACCTCCCAGATAGATGGCAGCAGCAGACATTTGTGAGGCCACTTCCACAATTTTTACATAGATCTGAAGGGGTAGGAAATTTTCCACAGATCCCTGCACCCAAGGTACTACTCTGTGACCGACCACAGGACCTTTCGATTCCACAGATTTTATTAGTATGTATATCATATGTACTTGGTGGGTCTTAGTATAGTTGAGGGTCCATGAGGTCTGGAGTCCATTTCTCTAACCACTGAGCTACCGTGGCTTTTCATAATTCTCTACAACGTTCAACTAGTACTATCATTTAAGTCTATGCACAAGATGTGATTGAAGTTTTCATAAAAATATAGATCATAATAATTCAGATAATAGGGTTTTGATTTTTTTCCCCATTTACCATTAATTTTAGCAACCAATTTTATTTCTTTTAATCAAACAAAAAAAGGGAATCTTATAGAAATAGTTAAATATCAATTAATTATATTAACTAAATTTGTTATCTACAATTTTCAGAGAATGGCCAAACTGCCAATCAAAATATATAATGTTTAGATTACTTTCTATACGAAACATAATTGTGCATCGCTAAAGTAGCCTTCAAACATTTTAGCAGACTCAAGCTATAAATCAAGAATGAGATTGCGGAAAAAGATGTGAAATAAAACAAAATGTGTCTAAAACAGAATTTAGAAAACTATTTTGTGATAAGCAAATTCAATGATTTATGATATTGTTTAATGATTTAAATATTGAGTGAAGGGGGGGGGGATATTGAATTTCAGAAAGTTACGTTTTTTAACAAAAGGATGTACTAACAGAAGAAAATGTAGCATTTGAAAAATATTCAAATTATCTTGAAATAATAGAGTATCAGTAATAAAGTTTATTGATTGAATGTAGGGTTTAGTGGCACAAGGTCCAAATGAGGACATGCTGCGCCACAGTAATAAAGTTTAAATTGCTATTTGAAATTAAAACTCTGATTATATATTAATGGGAAAGACAAACAGAAAAACTGACCGTAGAAGCTTTCATTTAATTGAACTAATATAAAATAACAAGATTTAATTATTAAAGAACCCCTCAATAGAATATGGTAAAAAATCCATATTGCTAGGACATGATCTCCATCTCTGGATTGTAAAGTAAATTTTTTGATAGGATTTTGGAAAGTGCATGATAGCAAAATTTGGGCAGGGAGCTATTTTTTACACATAATAAAAATTTTGAAAAATCAGAAATACATCTAAAATCGGAAAATAATGGGGGGGGGGGAACCTGANGGGGGGGGGGGGGAAACTTGAGAAAAGAGAAACAAAATCACAAATTCTTTTGTGTGTGACATATTTAGAGCTACTCTATATTGATTACTAATGACACCAATTTTTAATAACAATTGTCAATTATGATAACAAACATGACTCTTTTAAGAAAATGTTTCAAAAATATCAACATACTTTTTATGAATTTTTAAATGGTGAATAAAAATGATAATTACTCTGCAGTATAAATAAATAAAAGAATGCAATAGAATATTGTAATCATTAAAATTTAACCTCTGGTAAGTTAACTTACCAGAGAGCTGGAGCACCATTTGAATTTGGTTTTAACAGCTTTTCTCTAAACATCTCGTAGAAGGTCATCCTACAGCCACTGTATACTAAAATACATAAACTTCTGTTATAGTCATGGGGTTTGTTTTTCCTTGTATTACATATATTGTATAAAAATTATTAATATTTTTGAAGAGCATAATATTTTATTTAATTATCACTATGGCAATTAAAGATAATTATTAAAATATTGGCAAAAAATTTTTAAAATAAGCTAATGGTGTATAAAAGAAAAATACCTAAATGTCGATAAATAGCAGGCGTCACACCTTGCCAGAGTTTCAGCAAACCTTCTTCTTGCACTAAAATTAAAAACACATTTAAAAAAATATAATGTGTGGCAAATAGTTGGCATAGATTGAAAAAATTTCTAATGGCTTTTCACAGTAGAAAAAGATATCAATTTATCACCCAACTGCAGCGACATAATAACCCATGAAAACCTAGGCATTTTGCAAACAGTAAAAAGATTAATGCCCTTTCTCAAATGTGAAAAAAAGCACAAAATCTCAAAAAAATATCTTAAAAGAGTGAAAAAGTAAAAAAATTCAGAAAACATACTGTTGTAATTCGCTGGGAAGGATAGCTACGAAGTCTTTTTTCTTTTTATACCGCCAGATGGCGTTCTTTTTAAATTTGTATGTGTTTGTTTGCTTTTTGTTAATAAACTTTTATTTTCTGTCTGAATCTCGATCCACGGACTACAGTTGGCAGCACGGCTGTGGTTTTGAAAATTATGACGCAGTAAAAAGTTTCACTTAGTTTCGCCGTGATTTACATCGTTTGGATTCCAAAATCAAAATGAACAGGGATCTGCCGAGTATCCCACTGCTGAACAGTGAGAACTTTTATCAGTGGAGTATTAAAGTCAAGGCTTTGCTGACACTTAAGAAAATTGCTAATGTGCTAACTGAAGAAGCCCCCGTTGATCCAAAGTTGCGGGAACAATGGACATTAAACAATGATGACGCAGTTGCATACATACAACTATCGCTTTCTGATGACCAAAGTCTTCAGTTCGCAAACGAAACTAACGCTAAAATTCTATGGGAAAAAATTCAAAGCACATTTACTGGTAAAACAGAAGATCAAGAAATCGATGCAAGTAACAAAATAAAAAATCTTGAAATGAAAGAAAATGAAAATGTGTCAGACTATATTGCAAGATCACGAGGACTTAAACGTAATGTTCATCACTTGGACTGCAAATTTCTGAAAGAGAACTTGTTTATTATACTGTTAGAGGATTAAGAGGAAAATTTTCAAAAATAAGGGAAATTCTGAAAACCTAACACGAAAAACAAATGGAGGAAATTTTAGAAATACTGCGGGAAGAAGAAAACATCTTATCAAAATTAAGAAATGATATTCCTAGACGAACAGAAGCATTCGGAGTAAAATATAAATATGAAAATAGAAGCAAGAAAAAAATTTTCATCTGCCATAAAACGAATCACCTAGCTAAAGACTGCTATTTCCGAAACAAGTAGGAGGAAAATCTTTTTCAGGTTGTGTAATTATGATTGGTAATTCTCTTGTTACATGGAAAAGTAGAAAACAAAGATGTGTAGGACTATCAACATGTGAAGCTGAATTATTTGCTGCAGCTGACACAGCTCGAGAACTTACTTGGATAATAAATATGTTAAATGAACTGAACTGTAAAAAATTTATTGATGCTCCTGTTACTATATTTTCTGACAGCCAAGCAGTTATTGACTGGTTGAACAATGGTAAATCTTCTAACAAAACCAGGCATATAAATCTTAAATTTCATTATGTGCGAGATATGATTGAAGATAAAATGTTAAAAACTGCTTATAACAATACTAATGATAATATTTCTGATTTTTTAACTAAAGCTGTAACTTTTGAGAAATTAATTTTTTCTTTGGAAAAAATGAGTTTAATTTGAAATTTATATTAAGAGAATTAATATTTTTTGATGTATATTGTTATTTGTTTCAAAAAGTAAAATCCTTCTCGCAGGGGGAGATTGTTGTCATTCCCTGGGAAGGATAGCTACGGAGTCTTTTTTCTTTTTATACCGCCAGATGGCGTTCTTTTTAAATTTGTACGTGTTTGTTTGCTTTTTGTTAATAAACTTATACTTTTTGTCTGAATCTCGATCCATGGACTACACATACAAATGTCATTAATGAGCCTTACTCAGAAGGGGGGAAAAAAACTTAGCAAAGTGCAACTTACCAATACCAAAAGCAGTATGAAACATCCCTCTCGATTTTAAACCAGCACTACAAGCATTACATTTATTTAATGCTGTTTCTCCTTGTATTTGTAATCTTGTTTTGGTAATATCCAGGGGATATGTTGCTGGAAAAAAAAGTTTTCAAAAACCAATTAAAACTTAAACTATATTTAAATATATAAAACTTCATTTTAAGATGATCTTTTATCAATATAACTTATTTACTTTGAAAATATAGCATTGTTTAATTGTTCTTCAATACTAAGTCTTTAAAATAGTGTTATTAAACAGGAATGATCCATGCATAGCCTAATTTACTAATAGACATTGAAATTAGAGCATTGGAGTAAAAAAAAAATTAGAAAAATCTTATTTCCTTAAAATTTAACTTAAGTAAAATATGCAAACTTAGTATTAAGGTGTCCCTTTACTGAATTTAATCCTAATATGTCTTTTCCAGGAACTGATTTGTTACTATCCATTTTTTTTCTAGAAAAAATAAAGCAGGTCTATACAAAATAGCAAAAACTTATTGGGACGGCCTTGGCCTGTCATAGGCTGTAGTGCCCAAAAAGAATACAGAAAATTAGCCCCTAGGCAACATTACCAGTATGCACTGCGTTAATTATATACCAAACTACCGTATCCCAGGCATTAATACTTCACTTTAAAAAACACCAGTGTAGGATATACTAGAAAAAAGTATCTCAGATCAGTAGCGCTTAACCCTAAAAATCATCAGTGTTGGTTAAATTACAAATGTATTAATAAAACAAAAATTTTACAAATATATTTCAAATCATTTCCACCAGTCAAAAAATATGATAATGCTCGACACAAAATTATATAACAAAATAAGAAAATCCACATAATATAAATATTTAAAAAAAAACACCTAAAAACTATAATTCCATTCATAAATTGTCAAATGACAACCAAATTTATCAAATATTCCACTGCAAATTAATCCAATATTCAACAATATTTTCACCTCTTCATTTTCACCACACATCAATAACTTATAAAGGCATGCATGATTCGAATGGCCAAGTTCACCATAATGACTACCAAAAAAAAAATATTTTTCTTTTAAAAAAACTGAACTTGCAACTTCGCCTGCATACTCATAAGTTACTCAAATCAATACAAAAATACCTATCTTCACACCAAGTTTAAGAAATAAATGCATTTACAAAATGCAGAGAGTTCTCCCAAGGAATAAAAAAGGGTAAGGTGCTGCCCTTCAAAAAAGAGCACTCATTTAACACAGTAAAAATTTATCAAAATGTGTAATAATGTGAAATTAAATTAATTTTGAAATGAATTTAATTTTAAAAGAATAGTATAGACACTTATACAAAAAAATTTTTTATTTACTATCAGAAGAGATATTTTCTACACTGACTGTTCAACCATAAAGCCTACTTTAAAATGTTTAAATATGATAAAAAAAATTTATGTTTTTAGAAATAAAAAATATTATGAGTTTGCATTTGCAGATACTTTTAAAGTGCGAGCACAACTAATTTTTTTATTATTATTTGATTTTACTCAGTTTATTCTCATTATTTTCGAAACATAACATTTTTCAATTGTAAAGTCTATACAAACTATTATTAACCAGTAATGATCAAGGTACAGCCTAATTTGTTATTTATATAATTATATTATCTCTAATTTAAGTAAGTTATCTAAAAAAATGAATAAATAAAAAAAAAATTCTATAATACACTAGCTAAGGGGCCGTTCAAAAAGTACGTACATCCCGAAGGGGGGGAGGGGATTTGCTATTATGTACGGTTTTGTACGATGGGGAGGGGGGGAGGTATTATACAAAGTACGTACTTTATAAACATACACCAAATTTAAATTTGACTTTATCCTACACACTCCTTAAGTAAATATTTAATTTTATTTAAAACATAATTATTTTAATTTTTATGAAAAAGGGGGGTAGACTAATAAAATGTACGTACTCTAAAGGGGGGGGAGTAAGACCTTATGTACGGTAATGTACGAAGGGGGGGGGAGGGGTTTGAAATTTCTCCATTTTTGTGTACGTACTTTTTGAACGGCCCCTAACTGAGTAACTTAAATATGTAAAATGAATCCTAAGATGGCCTTTTATTAATGATTACTACTAACATTATTTTTTAAATATAAAATTTTTTTTCTTTGTTCTCTAGTATTAATTCTCTACAAAACATTATAATACATTGCCTAATTTATTAGGAACATATTTCCAAACTAGGGTATAAAAAAAAAACTATTTTTAATTACATTTCTTTTCTAACTTGAATATCTGAATAGATGTCAAGTATTGAATGTGTATTAAATTTTTGAAATCTTTATTACATTATTTTAAGAAATTTATACACATTTAAATTTATATATTATAAATCTTTATTAGATTATTTAAAAGCATGAAATTAATAATTGATACACTTATAGCAAAATGGACAAATTCAATTCCTGCTTTTTATGCTCTTTTATTTCATGTAATAATTTAGTTAAAGATTATATAAATTGCATGCAAAGTTATTAACATAAGACCAGAAGTTATCATACTAAATTCATAGTATTAATGACTTTTAAACTCTATAATGTGATTATTTTTAATTCAAAACTGTCCATTTTTTTAATGCATGCATTCTAAAAGTAAATTCAAAATGTATGAAAAGCACATTTATAGTAACACTTTCATCTGCATAGTCTTATAAGAATAAAAGTATGCATATTTTTCAATATTTATTTGGCAATAATAGTAGCTATATGCATGTGATAAGGCTTGAACAATTTAAATTTTTTATTGGATACTTAAAAAAAATTTTATCTCTTCTTCACAATTTTTTTTTTAAATCATAGCTTGATCTTTCGTTTGCCCTTATCAAATAATAGCATAAGAAAATTTTGTAATGCAAGACAAAATTATCGACAAGACGGTGTTTAACTCACACTGAATAAACGTGACTACTTTATCATGCATAGTAACTATGCATTCTAATCTGCTTAACTATTTGGTTATCAAAGTTGTCCTTGATATAATGCTTAAGTGTCATAACATAATAGCAAGGTGAAATTTATTTCTGTTTGCAATGTAAAGAAAAATTTACAAATATTTCTAAAAAAAATGTGTTTGCGAATGCAATATTTTAATGCTTTTATATTTTCTATTCCTAATTTTCTTCGATACAAATTCTTTCCTAAGAAATTAAATTAAGAGATGATTTATTCAACTATATTACAAATAAAGCAAATAAGGAAAAATAGTTTTCCCTTTGCTTATAACCTATTAAAAATTGATAATTACCTATTTCGGCAACACTTGCAGCGCATGATGATAAAATGTATTTAAAGAAAAAACTTTCTGTCCTGTGTACATTTTTACTTTTTGACTCTGAATTCATTATCTACTGTCAAATTACAGGCTTGAACGAACGCGAAAGATGTTGGAAACGTCTATATATCATGAGCGCACAAAGTTCAAGGAATTCCAAGTCTAAGTGACTCGTTTGTTTACAAACTTTACCTAACGACACAGTTACAGTTGNCCTAATTAAGAGATTGTCCAAAATATTAAACAAAATAGTAATAATTTTATTAGGTAATTAGTTCTGTTTTCCACAGATGCAATCTAGAGTGAGTTGTTATTATGAAATAAGTTCATTTATGATTTTTAATCCAGATTTTATAGGATCATTTATGATAATTGTTGTATTTATAAATTTACTCATCACAATTTTTTCCCCCTCATTTCTCTTCCAATCATTATTAATATATTAGGTTTAATAAGGAAAAAGAAATAATGAAAAGCATTATTATTTGTAAAAGTATGTTGTATTATATACAGTGCGTAAAATAAAAAAAGTAAAAAACCTGAATAACTCTTGATTTAATGATCGGATTTTAACTTACTAGATCTCAATCTAAATGGTTTAAGGACCAAACTTAAAATATGCTAATTAGATGGTGCAGAAGATATTTTTTTAAGTCAGGCAAACATGCTTTCTCTACCTATATATATACATATCTATATGTATGTCGTTGTTAAATTTGGATATTTGTCCCTCAAAATATGGATGATATTCGCAATAAGAAAATTAAGGTCCCAAAAGTTTATTTTAGGTTGAAAGTTTGGGCTCCTTTATTTAATTTCAGTTTTCATGCATCTCGTAATGTCTCAAGAACTTTTGAAACGAATTGAAAAAATTTTATACCTAATAATAAAATTCATTTACCTAAGAATATTTTCCCGACAAAAATAGTTTTTTAAAAAAATTATTGATTATTAATAGTCGGAAAAAGTTTCAATTTAAAAATATACAAACTTTTATATAATTTTAAAGAACATTAATTTAAATGGTAAAATACAAAATTTGAACGAAATCTGTCGAATAGTTCTTGAGAAATTAAATGTTAAATATATAACTTTTTTTAAAATTGAATAATTCAGTTGTATTTAACTGATTTAATACACATTAAATTTTGTATTTTGTCATTTAAAATGACATTTGTTAAATTTTCAATTAAAAACTATTCTCTTAATAAATAAAATAATATAAAATAATTAATACATCTTAAAAATTATTTTTGACAAGGAACTATTTTTAGGTAAATGAATTTTATTATTGTGCGTAAATTTTTTTTAGTTCGTTTAAAAAATGCTCGTGGTATGGCTATATATTTCGAGAATTTGAACCATTTAAAAAAAAAGTTATGCTTTTTTTAGAAAAAGATGTGTCTGTTTTTCTAAAGTATTTTGATATAAAAGTTTTCAATTGATTATATTTAAATTTTTTTTTATTTGAATAAATATTTTCTTCTAAAAAAATTTTGATTTTATATTTAGAATTAACACGTGACTTAATAGCAGATGTATTTTTAATTGTTAGAGGGGGGCACCAAAATATTTTCAGTGCTTAGGGCCTCAAGAGGTCTTAATCCGGCCCTGTCACTCTCCCATTTACTGATCGCAGCCAGTGATGCTTGACTTCGGTGTTAGATTGGGTTAAATTATTTGGAAGAAATGAAAAAGTAAGTTAGTTCTGTCAATTTTTTTTTGCTCTTAAATACTGTCTTTTAAATAGTGTATATTTATGTATGCTAATAAATTCAATTATAATTGTGCTCATATATGAGTTAAAATAGACTTGTAATACTTAATAGTCCTGCCAAGTTTTTTTATGATCTACAATAAAAAGGACCTCAATTAATTTTTGGCTAAAATGCAGAAAGAATCCTCCATAATCATAATATTCTCGGATAATCATTTAGAATTAATTTATATTTGTATTGCAAATGTACATAGCAAGGTTTATTCTCCTTATGTTTCTTTTCATTAGTCTATAGACTATTAATACATATTCATTTTAATTTGTTTTAAAACTTAAAAAGCAGCATTAAAATAAAAATACTTAATAAAAATAAAGAAAACACAAAAAATTAAAGATTGTAATTTTTTGCAGCATATATAATAACCAGCATTGTATAGTTTTAATGCACTTTCCATAGGTTCAAATATTTATTCTTTAAACCAAAAATTCATTTCGTATTTTTGGAAACAGTGAAAACTTGATCTATCGAGATTCATATTGCGAGAAGTCCGATACCTTCAAAACATTAATAATTAATATACAAAATTTATTTGTTAATAACGAATTTAAAAAAAAATCTAGCTTCCCGCTATAGCGGCAATAAATTAGTTTGGGGAAAATCCATTTTTCTGTTATTAAAAGTAGCTAAGTTATAGGAAGGAGGACAAAATGGAAGACGTTTTTATTTATGTCTGATAAGTGGACATCATTTCACTTTACTTTCCTCTTCCAATCATGATCTTTTAAGTCATTGAAGCGTATATATGCGGATAACCACCAGCTGAATTATCTTCCTACATAAAAGATAAAAAAAATCTCCAGCCTTTTTTTTCAGCAATATTGACATTGTACTTTAAATGAATGTACAGTGCGCAAAAAAATAAATGGACCCACTGAAATAATTTTTGACCCAATGATCGGATTTTCATGTTCTAGGACTCATTCTTAATGGCCAATAGTGCAAACGATATTCTAAGTTAGGATATTCGACACAAAAACGTATATCTCATAAAACATACCTTTTTTCGACGAATTCGGATTTCTGACCCCCAAATTATAAAAACCGTAATCTGGAATTATTGTTTTAATAGTTTGTTCAGGAGCGCAGTTCAAAGTTTGAACCCATTAATGTTAGCTGTAGTTTTTGCGCATTTCACTATATTCCCAAAATTATTTTAAGCCTATTGAAAAAGGTTTGCATACAATTATAAAATCCGTTTTCTAAACATAATTTCATGCAATAAATTTAACTTTTAGCAAATATTTATTATTTTATTTGCTGATAGTCGAAAAACTTTAGAGATATAAGGTATAAAATTTTTTTCATCATTTGAAAGAATGCAATTTTAAATGGCAAAATACAAAATTTGAACAAAATCGGCCTAATAGTTCCTAAGAAAGAAAGAAATTAAAAAAACTCGTATTTTTTGAAATTTGGTCCCCTACCTCCTTAATTTTTTGTAACTTAAAATTCATAACCATAAAAGCAAAAGTAAATTTAAATTTTAGAAGAAAGAATGTTTCGCGTTGATTGTGGTAAACAATAAATTAGCTGTGTGAAAGGTTATTCATTACTGGCGCAGGCCAATATGTAAAAAGCTTCTGAAGAGAAAATAGAAATCTTAGTGAAAAGTCTGCTTTCAGTTCTGCAGAGAAAAAAAGGAATCATAAGGAGAAATTTTATAAGTCTCTGTCTCTATATATTTATTTACAATCTTTATATTAACATCCGAGTCCCCTGATTAAAATAATCCTTTTTTTTTTGTCCATAAAATTGTAGAATGCAACAATTAAAAGAAAAGAAAAAAAATCGAATTTTACAATTTAATGGGCGAAGTTCTAGAAGTTTGTATAAAACGGGGCAAGGTATCTTTAGATAGAATACGTGGTCGTAAAAAATGTACTTATAACTTTATTTTGTTATTACAGGCTACAGAAGAGAAAATTGAATTTAACCTATAAATGACTCAAACGCCAATCGATTCTTACAAAAATAACAGTTTCATATCAAAATGTTCTTTAAACGTTTCGTTAAATGTAGTAGTACATGAAATTTCAAATTTTCATTACCGAGTAATTTTTACGTTACGAGAGTAAGAAGTGAGGACATTTTTTGAAATAGGGGTGACTGCGACAACAATTTTCCTTTATTACAAAAGTAATTTTTAAACTTACAATGTGTGGTAAATTGCACCATACAGTACAAAATACATCGACAACAGAAAGAAAAAAAAATGCGATTTAAATTTACGTACATTAAAATGAATCTATACATTATGGTATCAAAATTAATGATTTTAGCTTCTTAGAAACACACTTGAAAAAAATTTTTGTGGAAAAAAAAGTAAAGTATAAAATGCGTTTTAATTTAAATATTTTGAATCTATTTGTTTGATCCCCCCCCCTTTCGGGGGAGACTTGACCCTCTGTCCGGCAAAGTCTGGCGCCATCCTCGTTTGTCTCGATAAGGAAGAAGTGGAAACAGTATACTTCTGTACAGAGAGAGCAGAGAATTGAAATGTCAATCCTGCTATGAACAATGGGCTTAAGGTATAAGTATTTATCTAAGTATTGTATATACTTTTTTCCTTAGATATTAAATAAAGGCTGGTTATTGTAGATTTTCCATAACTGTCACTGAAGCATTAATTTGAAAATTTTATCAATTGCTAATTTAATGTCTTTAAAATATACATTTTTAATTTCGTTTAAGAGAGCGGTCATCTTAGCCTTCCTACAAAGTGTATAATTCTTTGCTTCATAGGACAAATGAGAAAGTTCAATGCGTAATTGTATTGGCTTACATACTACTAAACCGTCTCCCGGAAGTGAATGTAGCTCAATTTTATTCTGTAGCATAATTTTATAATGTAGCGTTTATTACTATCCATCATGATTAACCAATATAAAACTAATTTCGAAAAGCATACTCGATTTAATTTTTCTTCTTAAGGTTCTTTTTGGCATGTAAAATGAAAAGAAAAGAATTTAAATATTTAGCTCTCATAATTTCTCAAAAATATTAAATATGACCTTTGATAATTCCTCTGAACTTCATTTAAATTTCACAGTACTCTGTTATTAATACAACACATATTTTTAACACAAATTATCAGGGAAGTCATTTTTATTAAAGAAAAAAGCAATCCCAAATTCTACTCAATTGTTTCAAAGACATTCCCTCTTTTTTTTTTTGGTTATTTACCTCTCTTTAAATTTTGCGTCGTAGTTTCTACCACTGTTTCGTTATTGTGAGTACACATCATTGGTTTATTATAAAACTCATTTATGTGTGTGTGTGTGTGTTTTTTTTTTTAATTTGATGCAGTATAGTCTCATATTCAGCTCTGGTTTCATTAAATCCTGTTTTCCATTCACTTTTATAAATTGAAAATTAACACATAAAGTTAAATGAAGTTAATAAATTAGTAGTTAAATTAATTTCAACAAAGTGCGT